CGACGGTAGTGCTAAGCAAACAGTTAAATTTTAAAAGCGCGGTTATAAGATCTAACAGATCTTCTTGTTATGTATGTGACACACGCGGTCGCGTGCGTTTGCAAAACATGACTCGCGCACATGTAAAAATGTAATGTAACAAGAAAAATGGTACGTTTCGTGTTTATTACCCTCCTGCCATCGTATGTTGCTCCTATGCAATCGTATCGGTAACCAATGTATCCATATGTAACCTGTATGCTGCCGTATTCGTCTGTATGTATCCGTATGTTACTCGTATGTACTCGTATGTTACTCGTATGTATTCGTATGTACTCGAGATAGGGCGGGTCCGATGGAAAACATAGCCCGCCGGAACAGACGATTGAGGGCCGGATAGAGCTTAGAACACCGCGATATATATGATCCGATGACCGCAAATTGCGAGGGCGAGCGTGGAGCACAAGAAAGACGTAACGAAATATAGCGGCATTACTTTGGACCAAGAGAGGATTATTAGAGTAGCATTTCTCCAGGTCTGGCACTGATTTCCCACATAGTATAGTGTAAACAGTTCAAGAAGATGTCACTCTGGTACACTAGCATGTAGCAGCATTCTTTGACACAGCATTAATTATCGATGGAGATAAGACACCTTTCTTTGTTGTCAGACATCAAGATAATGAACACATGAAGACCGCCTACGTCGAGATCCAGAAGAACGTCTGGCTCAAAACAATTTGTACGAAAACATTTTACCCGACTTCAATGAAACATCGCTGTTGGAACAATTTCAAAGCTTAATTTGGGAAGTAAAATAAAAACAAAATCTCACGTTCCAGCTCATAGAAAAGGAAACATACCGCTTTGCTTTTCGGATAGACTCAATACAGGAAACCACCAAAATAGTGATTCTTTGATCTTCTTTTAATCCTTGCCCCACTGCAATTTTTTCAGCAATAATAGAACATCGCTGCTAAGTTTTAGCAGCTACGTCAAAATTCGTGCATCTTGAGAAGGTTAGCTTGAATTTTTCAAGTTCGTCGTTTGTAATCCGTGTTAATCTTCTCCATCCTTAACCATCCTTCTTCCTTTACAATTTATTATTGTCTGTTTCTTGTTTTTCCATCTTAGCTAATACTGTTTCCACTTTGCTTCAATTTAAAGATGATTTTGTTCTTAGCTATAACAACTCAAAATAGTGTGACTGAGCTCTTTTAAACTAGAAAAACAGAAGATAGAATCTCACATTTCAATACAAAAAAACGGAAAAAAATATTTTCCTTTTCGGAAAAAGAGCCACTTAATTAAAAAAAAAAAAACACCAAAATAGTTTGGCATGAATCTTTCTTTGTTTAAAATTCCATGAGACATATGTTGCAATATACGCTGACGTTTTACAAAATGTTTTCTTCTTTTGCGCTTTTACATTATTTTTGTACCTCCTATTACTTCGAATTACTTTTTTTGTGCTTTTACTTTGAGTCCCTCTCAAAAAATACAAAACGTTGATAATTGCGGTTTCTTGAAATATCGTCTGGTATGTTTCCTCGCCCTTTCCTTGTCAATCACTTCAATGCTTTCGCCACAATAAAACTCTTCTCAGTTTACGAAAATATTACAGCCGCTCGCTCCGAAGCCCCCAGGTGACATAGGCTTCAGTGTAGCAGTTTACTGAAGAGAGACTATTTGAAGAGGTAAAAACGCGTTTGTTTTACAGAGGACATCAGAAGTACAGTTTGGATGCCAAAGAAACAACCTTGGACGCGGGACACGTTTCTGAAAAGGCTTTCTATCGACGTAATCGCGGTTCAAGAATCAATGTCAATAGCGCATCAGCTGAACAATGAAAGAATTTTGGATGTTACTTGGTAAGTCAAATATTACTTGTTTCTCGACTAGTTTTGTCTGTGTAGTTGCCTAGAATCTCATTGCCGCTTCATAACAGCTTCACTTCTTATCTCTAGGTTTATTCTTCTACTTTACATGTACAACTACACAGAAAAGCTTCGCAATTGGAGTGACACCTTCGCTGAGAAAGAACAGTTTGAGTGCCTCAACTGATTTTCACGATAATTTAGAAACCCTTGATATAGGTTCTTCTCCATTCCTAAATTTAACACAATCGGCGTCCTTGTTAGAAACGACGAGACTTTCGCTGAGCAGGACGATTATCGCGACAAATAACAAAGCTAATGAGGTTTCCACTGAAATAAAAGAACCGATTGTGCCTTCTTTATCATCAACAATTTTTGTCCCTCACACAAGAACAAATGAAATCGTCAACAAGGTCTTATCTAGGGACGTGTCACCGGAAAAACGTGCGTCGAACTATTCCTCGCTAAATATGCAAAGTGGCTTTTTTAGAGCAACAGAACATAGTTCAGCGATATCGTCAAAGGCCTCTGTTGGAAAACCGGAAATTGCTCTAACTACGTCCGAATTCAGTGGAATTATTTTACCCTCGTGGTCGGTAGATAAGAAATATTTGCCGAATTCTCAAGCAGGAGATAAGTCTAATGGGTACAGCTCTCAAGGAGCTTTGGCGAAATCAGCTTTTTCGAATGGGCTCAACTCCCAGACGGGTCAACTTTCAAACTCAAATTCTATTTTGGGGCGGATTAGCATAGATTACAATGCATCTGCGAGCACTAATGACGGTAGCAGATTGTTTACTAGAGGATCAGTGTCGCTGGTAAAGCTGCCTAGAACGCTTCTCCTTAGCTTGCAAACCATCTGGAAAACCACGGATTTAAATCCCAGAACATTTCAAACAACTCTTTTGTTTTCTGACAAAGCCGACACTTCTGGATCCGGCGCCACACCAACATTCGAGACCAAAACAAGCACATCAATAACTACAAGAAAATTTTCTAGCATTTCTGGAATGTCACAGGCAACTTTGTTGGCTAAAATGACTCAAGACGAAGGTAATATCGCTTCGGCGGCTTTTCTAACGTCGCGTGCAACAACAACAAACCAAAAAGTTGCGAGTTCTCTTATACATTCTGATATTCAAAAGGACAATTCTCTTGTCTCCTCCGTTGTGATGGCTTCACCGTCTTTGTCAGGCAAAGCCAGAGAGGTGCCTTCTCTGTCTCCTAGTGCCGCGATGACAGTTTCAATAACTCCTATGACACATCAAGACGTCCCCAGTAGTGTAAACAGCAAGTTGTCTTCAAGACCTGAAAATGAATTCCGCACATTGACCATCAGTGAAGAAATGGAGAATTCCAGCCAAATGTCTTTCACAACAATGCATAGCTCGAGAATTAGTGCATCGGATTCTCCGACTAGAGACAGTGCTTCGATTTCTCAAGACGAGAGCGCAATTTCTGTACCGCGAGGTATGAGAAGTTCTTCACACATTACTTCTCCTTTCGAAAAGACCACCCGTTTGGCAATATCGAGCTTGCAGGCTCAATCCCTGCAATTAAAAACAAGTGAGGTAAAATTGGAAATGTCTTTCGCAGATTCAGCGAAGTCGTTCATCTCAAGAACTTCTTCTAACGTAAGCCCATCTTTACAAGCGTCTTTGAAAGCCGTAAACATGACATCGTCCTTGAAAGCCGAAGATATCACAGAATTTGTAACCCAGTCTATGGTACAGCCCACAAACTGGATTCCTTTTTCAGCTTCTCAGGAATTTTCAGTGTTGAACACTGACAACAATCGTAAAACATGCGGGATTTCTGGGAGTAGCTCATTACACGAGAAGAGAAGCTCAGCCGTTTCTAACGTCCCCAGCTTCAGCCCTTCCTCTTCGACGCCCCTTGATAAAAGCAAGTTACAGACATCCTCTGCAGTTTCAGCCGCCTCGCCAAAGAGTGAAAACACATCTGGAGTAATTGTAAGTATACTTGTTATTGGTGTTCATGTGTTTATGACTTGAGTGTGGGGGTTAACTTAAGGTAATGTTTGGATGGCGGGAAGTGCTCAAGTGATCGAACTCAGGATTTGTTCTTATTTTTTGTTTCGCTTGACAAAATGTCGGGGAACCCTAAGATGGACTGGCATCCCATGTCTCGGCAGGAGTTCTAGGGGACAGGAATGTTTCCGTGTGTTTATCGAGGCTTTAGCTGATTGGCTAAGCTACTCACTATCTATTCTGTGATAGATAGTGAGTAGCCTAGCAATGTGCGCTTGTTAACAAATTGGCAGCCGCTTATTTGCGTTTTGGAAGTGTCTGTTAAGAGGATTTAGACATAGTTTTGAACGATTAGCAGATTTATACTAAAACGCTCTAAAATTCGCTCTAGATTTCTATGCGTGATAGTTGACTTGGGCCGCGCGATATCGCGATAGAAATCTTGAGCTCATTGTCTAATAGTTGAGTATTAGAAACATGAATGTAAGGTTAGGAGAACGAGAAATTTTTGCGGGAACACGAGCTGCAGGCCAGTGTTCAATAGCTCTCACTGGTAGACTGTTCACAGCCTTTTTATTTCTAGCGTCCAGTTCTCACGCGATACCATCCGTGCATTCAACGATCGAATAAAAATACTAGAAAATAGAGGACTGTGAACAGTCTAATCACTGGCGGATCTGAGAGCATTTAATTTTCTTTATAGATTTCTTTACAAGAAGAAAGTGCTACATCTAACAGAGCAGCTAGCACACAGTCGCGCATCGCATTCTACTCAACCCAGACGATATCATCTGTATCTACTGTGAGCAATACTAACGTCTCCACAGAATCCCCAACGACCAACGCGAGGACCTCGAGTCGTATTAAGCTGCCTGGCGTTGCGAGTTCTGTTATGCAGTCCGCGATTCAAAGAGAGACTTCCCTCCAATCCTCGGTTGTAATGGCTTCACCGTCCGTGTCAACCAAGGATAGAGAGATATCTTTGCAGTTTTCTGGTGCCATGACAACAATTTCAACGCCCTCTATAATTCAGTCACCGTTTGCTGGCAGGACAAACAGCAAGTTCTCATCAAGAACTGAAAGTGAATCCCGCCCATCGAAGAGCAGTCATAAAGCGAAGACTTCTTTCCTGATGTCTTTAATAATAGAGCCTAGTACAAGTGACACTGCGACAATTCCTATAGACGAAGGGACCACAACTTCTGTACCGCAAGGAATAAGAAGTTCAGCCGTCGTATCTACTCTTGCTGAAAGGTCTTCTAGTCTGGCAGTATCAAGCTTGCAAACTGAATCGCGGAAAATGACTTTCGCAGATTCAACGAAGACTCCCTCCTCCAGAACTTCTGTCAAAGTAAGAATTTCTGTACTGGCAACTGAAGACCTATCTTCCCTTTCTTTGTCCTCCACGAGAACCGAAGCAATGACGGAATTACACACGCAGTCCCCGGTAAAACCAACAAAGTGGATTCTGTTTTCAGCCTCTGATAAATTTTCGTCATTGAACACTGACAGTTATCATAAAACATGGAGCTCTGGTAGTTCGAGATTCAGTGGACATGAAATTCGCTCCTCCTCCGAAAGTGAGAGCTTGGCCATGACGAGTAAATTAGCTGCAACTTCGGCTTCTTATTCCCAGACCTCGTCACAGATCCCATATGAGGTAATGTCTGCTGCCACTGCTACTAGCGTCGAAACTAGCGTCATCCTCACACGTTTATCCTCGCGCATGAGCAGTCGTCCTATGCCTTCAAACAGAAAATCGGCCGTATCGGAAGATCGCAACTTCAGCACATCCGTGAGTTTCAGTGCGTCAACGCTTCTTGAGAAAAGCAAGTTACAGACTTCCTCATCTGTTCCAGCCACATCACCTAAGAGTAAAATGACATCTGCAGTAATTGTAAGTACATTTACTTGCGTGGGGAGGGGCCGGGTGGAGTGGGTTTAAGCTTTTGAACTCCAGGGTTGTTCTCGCTCTGGATTCACTCCATGTATCATTGCTAAGTTTAATATGCACAACTTTAAGTTACTTTAGTCGGTTCTCAATCAGAATTGCGCACTTGAAGTTTTCGATGGTTTTTTAGTCGTGTTTTTTTTTTCCGAAACATTTTCATTCGTGTATTACTCCTCTTATTAACCGGATAACAAAGCATACTCGGGAACGTCGTTTCTGTACACACCACCCTGCGCTTGATCCGTAATGCTTTCACCACTCGGGACTATATCCTCTCCACTGCGGCCTTCTCACTCGGTGTATAAGGGGCATATACAAATAGGCACCGGGTAAACCAGACACAATTTTCAGGGGTAATCCCCGATGGTATAGAGTAGCGGTACGTCTTGTAGTCCTTATTAAGAAGGTATCGGGGGATCAGTTCTTCATTTGTATGACCTCTCACTACCCAGCTTTGCATTGGTATATCAATCATAAAAAATTACACAAATTAAACTATAAATACTAGCTCGTGTGTGTGTTTTTAATTGCCTAACCAGGTTCCTGTACCAAAAAGCAGTGCAACATCTTACAAAGCATCTAGTACACAGTTAGGCGTCACAGTCCACCCAACGCAGACCAGATCAACTTCAGCAACTGTGGCTGGCAACATTTCCACAGGACCCCCCACAACCGCGGCCAGTGACACTGGTCATATTAATTTACTTATCGTAGTTGCCATCATCCCGAGCATTATCCTGTGCGCCTTTTTTGCCGCTGTGCTCTTCTTTCGTCGAAGCCGCAAACGAAGAAACAAGGCTGTCTACTCGATAAAGCTGGAATATGCAGACGAAAACAACGGATTCCGTAAAAGATGCGTGAATAGTCGCCTGGATTTGAGCTTAAAAGGAATCCACATCGACTTGGAATTTCCAAACGCATCGAGTGATCGCGAGCGACGCGCAAGTTACGGACGGGAGAGCCCGAGATATTCCCGCGGGTCGACCTTGAGCGAGACACAGATGCGAGAGTTGCAGATTCTGTCGCAAGAATGTAGAGAGAATATGGAATGGATCAGCGAGGTTATTGCTAGAGAAATGGAGGCTTCGATTTGCGGTCGAATTCAGCCTGCTAATCGAGAAAGCGTCTACTCTGTCAAGGAAAAAGAGAATTATGAACCGAGTGAAAAAGTGATCAGAAGGGAATCTTCCAAGAGGGGAAGGGAAAGCGTCAAGTGGAGGGTACCTGTTGTACAGCGTCGCGATTCGGACGATTTTGATCAACGAGATTCCATGTGTACAGATGACACGACACTGTTCCCTGAGGAATGGAAAAAGAGTCATGAAAACTCTGAAAGATCAACGCGTCACAACGGTGCTGAAACGCGAAGGAAGAGTGATAAAAAGCCGAATCCAGTGGCGAAGGAAAACGGAGATGAAGCCAAATTAGACAAGGAACTAAGAGTACAACTATCTAATAAAAATCTCGACGAGCTTCAGAGTCAGGATAATGAAAAGAAGGAAAAAGAACTTCACGAAAATATACCGCTCACTATTAATTTGAATGCTAAGAACGACGATTCAGCTCACGTCACCCAAGGGAAGCGCCCGTCCCCTCGACCGCAAAGATCTGAAACATTATGAAANGAAAATATGTTAGTCATGCAGTGACGTCTCTTCCTTTGAGAATTTTTCGTGGGCAACTTGGTTTTGCGTTAGGCCGCTTAGACCCATGTGCACATTGAGTACCTATTTTTTTTTTTTTTTTTTTTTAAGGTTATAGAGACTTTTATTGTACATAATCACGATGTGTCTTTCAATGCTGGGACCAAGCAGATTGGTATGAAACATTTTGTATCGAAATGTTAATTGAAATATTTGTACCTTTAGCGATCCGGTGGCATAAGTCGGTTTTATTAACTATGTGGCTTAAATTTTTAAAAGTTAAGATACAGTGTGTCGTGGCCTGGGCCGGGCCCCCATCGACCATCCCTAATGTAGACCCGTCTTTAAAGGAGCTACGTCACGGTTTTTGCATCTTAGAAGTTAAGCCTAAATTTTTCAAATTCGTCGTTTGTAATCCATGTTAATCTTGTCAATCCTTAACCATCCTTGTTCTTTTATGTTTTATTGTTATTTCTTTGGTGTTTTTCTATCGTAGTAAGCTGTTATTTTCAGGTTTTCTTCAATTTAAAGGTTATTTGTACATGCATGGCCAAACTACCGTGACTGAGCTCCTTTTAACAGGTGCAATGCCATTGGTGTAAACTTTCTAGGCAGTTAGATCAAGCTATATCCTCGAAGATCCAGGGGCTAGTTGGGACGATGCGATATTTTCGGGCGAAAGTTTACTTCAAAAGCGGAACAGCCCCACTCTTCCGCTCTTGAAGTAAACTTTCAATTGAAAATATCGCTCGCCCGAAAATATCGCATCGTCCCGACTAGCAACCCCTGGGTCTCTGCGAGGATGATCATGCTAAGGTTATGCTTGCCAATTCCAAATGATCAAAACTACCTTTATAAGATAGTAATGATAATAATAACAAAGACGAAAACAATCTGCCGAGTCCATTGTGTTGTCAGGTCACCAAAGTGACTAGAATGAAACCTAGCGTTGCTTTTAATAAAGGTGACTGAATGCTTGTATGTAACAATCTTGGCTCAAGATGTGATATCGAAAACCCGATTAACATCAATTCCGGAATTAGAATCTCGAGCTGTAACCGAGATTGTAGTAATCCGCCTTGTTAAAATGCGTTTATCGCAGGAAATATAATATCACGTTAAACCACAGTTTGGAACAGTGCCTCCCAGTCCCATCTCCTCCCAAGTGCCAGTGCAAATTTATTATATGGCTTGCTCCGTGCTTACCCTACGTGGCATGCTTTTACAGGGGCGGATCTAGGGGGAGGGTGTAGGAGGTGCGCCCCCCCCCCTGAGATGAAGCCTTTTTTTTTCGTATTCGCTTTTAAAATTTGCCATTGCCATTCCTTAGTGGTGCACCCCCTCCTAAGAAAAATCCTGGATACGCCACTGTTTTAGTTAAGTATGTCTTGTGCTAGTGCGCACACCATAATAACCAGGACTGCTCGAAGGTAGCAAAACAACTCAATTGTAGGGAAGACAAATCAAAAATCCTTGACGTGCATGCTAATTTACGTGCAGATGTCTACTCATTCCAATAGTTATGGACTTCTGCACAAAGGCTACGTTCGTAGATGGGTAGAGAAATTTTCCCCTGAAATGTTTACATTCGATATACATACATCAGTCATTAATTTCCTTTTCTCTAAACCTAAGAAACCTGGTCTTGGATCAGGGGAAACTGGTTTTAGGTTTAGAAAAAGGTTGGTTTGGGTCAGATAAAAACTCAAAACTGGCTTTGTTTTGGAAAAAGTGTTCTTTGACTCGAGAACTGAGAGCCGCATTTGTCGTAGAAACCAGTTGAAAAGGCTGCCTTTCGTCATTCAAATGATTGGTTTGGAGTCAAAACAATGCTTGTTGTCCATATACTTTGCAATAAAGCGGTTTTGGGTCGGGAAATCGGTTTCCCTCGCACCAAGCAAGGCGAAACATAAAAGTATAGCCGACACATTAACAGTGGTATGAGAAGACTGGAAAGCGAATCTATTGTCGCTGTTTGCCGATTGGGCGAGCAGCGAGGATTTGAGGAGGCCCCACTCGGCCACTTCAGGTTCCGGCTTTCAGCCAGTCCCTTCTCGGCCCTTCCATCCCCGTTTGGACCCTTCCAGCCGGAGCCTGTTGACAGGCTACTCAGTTATCAGCACTTGATATACATAATATACATACAGCTGTTATCTCTTCTTTTTCCCCTTTTTGTGCTCCTCGTTTTAATGAATAATTAAGAAATATGCATTAGAATTTTAACACGTACCAATGCCTGAATTATTTAAGAGTGCTTTTTTGTTTTCAAATTCACTCCATACATTGAAATTTTTTATCTAAGGAGAACTTTAGAATTAAATTTGCTACGTTTTAAAGGGAAGAGGGGTTTAAGTGAATACATAAGCTGTGGTATCAGATGACACTTTTAATAAAATGCATAAATAAAATGTATAAATAATTCGCAATGCTTTTGAATTTTTTAACTCGTATGCTAACAATAGAGTTTATTTATGGGATCGAATTTAGATTTGATGTGACTTGCAAGCCAATATTTTACCGAACGACTTCGGGGTCATTATTTTGAATCAAGAACAGGCTTTTTTTATTTGCTTTATGTTCGATTTTTCTGCCACCCTTTATTTGGACGCAAATAATTTGTAGAGCACTTATTGCGAAAAGTCGTGTGACGTTTTTGCAGACAATTCATGCCATTTAGAATTTATTATCAACAAGAGTTTTGCTTATTTCTCAAGTTCACTATTTTATAAACGCCGGGGAAGCGATGCTTAACTTGTAAAGGTCTGATGGTACTTACAAGCAGATCATGCCTCGCGGACGAGTGATGACAGAGGCAAAGCGACAAGGTATGTGGAAAATATTTTCTCGTTTAATATCATCGTTTCCCTTTAGGCATATCGTACTTCGCTATAAATAATCGCTGTGTGTTGTAGAAAATGTGTTGATACATATTATAATATTTCTGCGAAAATCTAGAGAGGAACTTTGCTAGCTGTGGTGTTTCCTTGATTAGCGATTCACTTACGCACCGCCAGCGAAGAAGGCCAACGCAGGAGCTCCTGGCCAGTGACAAGATCGCTCTTAAAAGAAAGCGAACGGAAAGCGGTATAGTCTACGACTGAATTATTTCCAGCGCAAAAAATAACTTCTAGATGTTACAAGGGATACGAAATTCTCTTCAAGCTTAAACACCTGCTCTATCTTCGGAAAACTTCGTGCTACATCGGCGAGACTCGGTGAGGCTCCCGGAGTGAAAGAAGTTCCGCAGAGCAGTTACCATCGCGGGCATTTGGAGTTCCCCCGGCAGTCAGAAAAGGCATGCAGGAGTGCATGTTTCGAGCCGGCCCAGTGTAAATATTAGCTAGAAAATGTCTCAAGTAATTTTATATCTTTTAACTGAGCTGACTAGGAAGCTAAGGGAGCTGATGTTTGCTTCTGGAGCTCACAAGATGGCTCTTAAGCGCAAAGCTGAGGATACTGAATTCGATTTTCGCCTAGACGAACCAGATGCAAAGAGGGAGGCTTATGGTCGCTCGCGCTTGCCAACTTTGGTGAATGTCGACGGATCCGGTCAGTGTATTGCTGTTTTGACAAGCGGAGGAGATGCACAAGGTATGAATAACACAAGCAATTGTACAGTTTAATTGATAGTGTTTTCTGCGCCCGAAATATACAAGCTTAGTATTGTTCGAGCTATACCAGCAAGAAACAGACGCGAGCTTTATAAATACTGTACGGAAAATAAAAACAAGAAATGAATTAGAGAGTGTTTACATTTTGTCTGGCTTTAGGGAAAAATTTACCATTTATTCTAGTTGATGGCTGCTGCGTACGCTGTTTATAACCTTATAGGAAAAAACAACAACAGTTCAGACATATTGTCATTAATTTTTCTGCACCGGTAAAATGACCTCAAGCTAGGGGAACAGCCGGTTTCCAACTCTGGAAGACTGTTGTTTAATTCTTTTGAAAGGAGATCTAATTCGATTGTAATAAGATAATTGGCGTGTTGTTTTAAATCACTTTAGAAGTTATATCCTTTTCTTCTCAATATTGGCTGCCATATTTCTCACTGTTGTGGAAACAGCCATAAATTTCATGATTTATTCATTAATTTAATATAATTATGATAGTGTACATGTACATGTATTTGGAGATCAGTGAGTGCAACTTTCCATATTGTCAAAGCTATAATGTATAGTTAGGAAATTTTTGGACTATCCACATTTCACTAGAGTGGAGATGCAGTCAAGCCCAATGATTGGCATGATGGACTCCAGATAGAGCGACCTGGGACCAAACCCTGGCTGGGGAGAAGGGGGCAGGGTGGTCATTGCATTGTGTTCTTGGGCAAGACACTTTACTCTCAAAGTACCTCTCTCCACCCAGGTGTACAAATAGTTACTAGCAGGGGTTAATCTTGCAATGGACTAGCAGTACCTTCCCATCTGCGCGGGGGGGAGGGGGGAGGGGAGTAGAAATATTCCTAGTCATGTGATTCTACGCAATCTACGACAAGCTCTAGCTGTAACCTAATCCTAAAGGACCTAAAGAAGTCTGCAGATTGTAGGCTGCATTTGCTGCACAGACACACCTAAATTACTTTGATTAACTGCAGTCCATGCACTTTATAATATGCTAATTTATTTAGTACATGGAGTAATAAATTATTTATTGATACTAAGTAAATATTTAAAGTATACTGTCTTTCTTTAGGGATGAATGCAGCTATCAGAGCAGTGGTACGAATGGGTATTTATGCTGGAGCTAGAGTATTCAATGTTTGGGAGGTGAGATAGATTTATTGTTATTATATATTGAACATGATCCAACTCTTTTTTGATTGCCGGTTTACTGTATACATTTACATGTAATTCTCCAAATCAGTGTGTGCTAGTTCCTGTAGCATGAAGCAACTAGGAGTATTTCTACCCCCCCTGGATGGGATGCTAGTCCATCACAGGGTTACCCCCAGCATTAAATCCACCAGTAACCATTTGCACCCCTGGGTGGAGAGAGGCACTGTGAGAGTAAGGTGTCTTGCCCAAGAACATAACACAATGACCCCAGCCAGGGCTCGAACCCGGACCGCTCGATCTGGAAATGAGTGCACTAACCATGAGGCTACCACACCTCCACATGTACCAGACCATAATGAATTAAACTTTTGTTCCAATCATGTGTTTTATTTATTCAGGGTTACCAGGGTTTGGTAGATGGTGGTGATAACATTAAAGAAGCAAAGTGGGAAGAAATGTCTGGAATCATTGAACTGGTATGAGTTCACCCAAATTTTCTTAAATAGTGTGATGTAAATTTAATTTTTCTTCAGCTTGGTGTATAAAATTGACATGCTAAGTCAGTTAGTTCAATTCTTTGTAGCATTATCACACTCTCCTATATAGGTCAGCTACATTAATTTTGTACATATAATGCAGGGTAGCTTTGGACACCTTGTGGTTTTAATTGTTGTTTCATACAAAATCCCCAGTGGAAGAGAGTCTCTCAATAATCCATGTAAAAAAGTGCAAAGAAAACCACTTTTTGAACCTGCCCTTTAGGCAAGCTGTAAATAGATAAAGTACAGTTGTATAGTGTAAGAAAAATTTTGGGAGGCCAGTGAGAATGTCTATTGGGCTAACTGTGCATGGCGACTTCGCTCCCTGCCCTCCCCCCCTTTCTGGTAGGTATGAGGTAGGTACATGTATCATGGTTCCACTGTTTTTTTGCAGTGTGACGGTGCCTGGTGGTTGCAGCTCACGGGGTTGTCATGGTTACCCTACGCGCCTGGCTCTTATGCTCGAGGCTCCACTATCTTTCCAGGCACCTTCCCCAAGCTCATCTATTGTTGATGAGTTTAATTGATAGTAATATGAGTTTCCATATGAATTTTCCCCAGAAGAAACAAGTGAAGGAGAGAATCCATTCACCCAACTGCTAAACTCCCATAGTCCCAGGCTGTCATGCATGACTCCCTTTGTACATTGCGTGATAGATGGGGGTTGTCCAGTGGAATTCTTTTGGCGCTTACCTGTGTGAAACAAAGATCGCTCTTCCATTTGCTTTTGGTAAATCATGTATTAACTGAATTTCAGGGGGGGACCGTGATTGGAAGTGCAAGATGCCAGGACTTCAGATGTCGTGCAGGACGGCTGAAAGCTGCTAAGAACATGGTGACTTTGGGAATTACTAACTTGGTAAGTGGTTAATTATTTGTTATAATTATTAGAATATTATATAATTCCTAAAATGGTTTTGCAAACAACATTGTAGAAACTGAATGCAGATGGAAACAAGTTTTAGCTGAGCAAGAAAAAAAGAAGAATGCGTGAAGTGATGGAATTTTCAAAGCTCAAAAGAACATGATTGAGTACATTTTTTACTGCTCACCATATCCTTTTAATTTTCACTTTTTATCTGTTGTGTAGATGTGTACACTGTAGGTTGTTATAGCTGGTGACAGGAGCTGTGTGTAATTTCTACTTTCTTTGTGCTGTGTAGGTTGTTATAGGTGGTGACGGCAGCTTGACAGGTGCTAATCTTTTTAGGCAGGAATGGCAGGGTCTACTGGATGAGCTTGTTAAAACTGGTAAGTTATGATGCAAGAAGTACTCAGCATTTGTTTCACATTATTTTATACATCTATCAGCAAAAAAAAATCACATTTTCTTTCTAAAAAAAAATCTCTAACAGTGGAATAGTAATTCAACTTAGTTATAGAGGAGACAAAAAAAATTATGAAACCAAAAAAATTTTAAGTAGTAAAGTTTTTGCACTGTGCTGGACATTGCTAAAATTACATACATGGGCATGCTATAAACTCTACATGTGTATACCATAAAAAAAGTGTATTACATCACGTACAGTCGAACCTCTCCTAAAAGAAACCTCCTGTAGGAGGACACCTGCTGTAAGCTGGCACTTAGTAATGGTCCCAGCCACATACAAGTGCTTTGTTTTTAATGTCCCATAAGTGTACACCTCTCTTAAGTAGACACTTTGCTGATGGAAGGTTTGACTGTGTATATAATATTTATTAAGAATAGTTATTTTAAGCATTAATTGCTTTCTCTTTCCAGGCGAAATTTCTGAGAAAATGGCAAGGGAAAAAAATTTTCTCAACATTGTTGGAATGGTGAGATCCATTTCTCCTTGCACAATTTTAATATTTAACTTATTAATTGCATAACATATATTAAGCTTACTCAGATGGGATATGGGGTGAGAGGGGTTTGGGGGCAGACAGTGCTCGTCCTGACTCTAACCTTCTGGATCATCTCAGGTGGCCAGAGATGGGAAGGGTGGCAGGGCTCCTACTACACAATTTCTAAGTTTCATCATCATATTTGTTCAAAAATACTTCAAGTTCTAGATAGTGGTGGTTTTCACCCCTCTCTGCATCCCAACCCATTCTGAACAGGGTTACAGTCAAGAATGTATAGTTTATATTAATTAGTTATAATTTTGATTCATTTGATGTTAGTAGTAGTACAAGTAGATGATTGTAATACATGTACATGTATTATTGTTAAGTCTACCTTTTTGATCCAGCCCACCTGGTTACCTTTTCTTTACTGACATTGTACATGTATTTTTAAGGTTGGCTCAATTGATAATGATTTCTGTGGCACTGATATGACTATTGGAGCAGACTCAGCACTTCATAGAATCTTTGAAGCAGTTGATGCAATCATGACAACGGCCTCAAGGTGTGTAGTCATTACAGTTAAAAAAATTGTCAAATAGTAATTTATTACATACTGTATAATTTCCTGTTGTACATAGCATGCTGTTTATCACTCTAAATTGAAGTCTGTCGTGAATAATATTGTTACTGACAACAAAACTCTGAAAGTTATTCGTCAAGAAATGCTGTAATTCATTAGCATACAGCTACCCCTGTGAGCAAGATTCTGAAATTGATCAAATAGCGTGGCAGTGTTGTCATAGGCATAACAAATTTACACAAGGTCAGAGGCCTTCTTTGTAACATGATACATGTAGTGTTTCAGCAATTATTTGTAACATACACTGTAGCTGTAAAGTAAGTAAGAAAATTTTATTAATAGTTACAGATTATAAACGTCACATCAATATAGACACCCTTCACATCTGATACAGAGAACCTTGCAGGTTCAACTAAGAATTTTGCATAAACATTTGGAGTGGAATGATGAAATGTAATTTTTAGTGTTGCTTAAAAATTACTATAAAAATTATGGACATTGTAGAGCAGTTTTCAATTGAGAGCCAGAAAACCGAAACCAAACCAATTACTATACTTACCAATTAGACTACTCAGCCAATCCAAAACCATAGAAAAACCAAATCCAACACCAACTTAATTGCCAAATTACTTTTGGCACTCAAATGAAAACTGCTTTATGACTTAATTATACAATGTAAAATTATTGAGTGACGTCTTGTCTTATCTTGTAGCCACCAGAGGACATTTGTTTTGGAAGTGATGGGAAGACACTGTGGGTATGTTTGATTATACTTCATAGGGTTTTTAAATCCTGTTTACAAGCCATGTAGTGTCTCATTCAAACAGGGAAATATGTTCCTTTTCCAACAAACTTATTTTTTATTCACTTTAGGCTATTCTAGACAAAATTGTCCCTCAAATCATCCTTCCCTACTGATGTAATAGTTCATATAAATTAAATAAATATGGTTTATATTATTTTATACTTAGTGATGTAGGTTTAGCTTCACTTTCTCCTGGTTAGAGTCTTCTCGACCCAAGTTACACATGCGAGTTATATTCATGTGCAGTCATGTAGGCCATAATAATATTTATTAAGTAGCTTTCAAAGCATTTAATATATACAAATTCACCAAAGAACATTAATTTTAAGGTCCAGGGAGTTGATAATTACTTTCATTGGTCAGAATATATTTGTGCCCAAGAAATAGCACAAGAACGATTTAACTGTTTTTTGAGTTTCATGTCGTTTGACTTTGTTTTTATAATGGCTTATAACTAAAAATGGTGCTCTTTTCCACAGATATCTGGCTCTTGTTACTGGCTTAGGAGCTGGAGCTGACTATGTAAGTGTGTTTGTTTGATTTCATCACACAAAAAAAGCTAAATAATGAATAAAAAAGGAAGAGGTGTACAATAATTAGAAAGAAAGCATTGTGGGGAGTAGTGGGGAGGGATTGGAGATTCTACTGTGCATGCATTCTACTTCTATAACCGTGAGTATGCAATAAACAAGGTTTAGATCTGTGATTTCACAACAAAGGGCATGTTTAACAGCTCACGAGGGCTTAGTTACATGAATGAGATGAGCATAAATTGCAATGTTGTTTTGTCAATGTGGACGGCAGGTCTTCATTCCTGAGTGGCCTGTTGAAGAAGGTTGGGAAGACAGAATGTGCAAGCATTTGAAAAAGGTACTAAAATTAATGATCTTTTTCCAATTTCTATTAAAAATGAACTCATTTTACTTAAAGAAGTGCTCATCTAAAAGCACTTGAGAAGTGTTGATATTGGCCCGCCCTAATCTTGATGAGAAGGCTATTCCCATGGCTTTTCTGTACAGATTATAACTAGCATGTACTAGATAGTGTCTGGTAACAAATAGTTCGGTTTAGCCCTCTGCCAATGTCGAGTCTTTCATATTAATTACAATATCCCTCATTTGCTAAGCAGCCTTGTTTCACACTCTCGGGAGCAACAAACTGTAGAGATTGCAAAGATTACAAGTTAAGAATTGCTTGTTAATGAGTGAATCTTGAAATTAAAAAAAAATTACTTAAATGAGTAAATGCTTGACCAACAGATCCTGTTAATATTCATGCAGTGGAATTTTTGTAGCTCAACCAGCATGTGTCAGTAGCAAATTTTGTCTAATCTCCTGCCCCAAACAGATTTAATGAAAGAATAAATATTTAATATTTTCTTCCACAATGCAGGTCAGGGAAAGTGGTCGTCGTCTGTGTGTTGTCATTGTAGCTGAAGGAGCACAAGATGTTGCTGGAAATCCTGTGAAGTCTGATCACATAAGGGAGGTGAGATTATGGAGATTTCAATCTGTTCTTTATTGATCAATGACTGTTAAAATTGCAATGCATAAATTGCTTTTAAGATCAAAGATAGAGTGACCAGAAAATAGATGAGGTCAAGTTTGCAAAAAGTTGAATGTGTTTTAATTTTTATGAACTTAATCATTATCACTGATGTGAGAAACAATCATGTTCTTGATTATACATGTACAGTATAGGTTGTTTGAGAGGCCAAACACACGAATGTAAGATCACTCTGATGTTTGTGTGTATTTTGTTGATGATTTGTTTAACATTTGTTTTGCAGCTAATCGAAACAAATCTTCAACATGACACACGAGTTACTATTCTTGGACATGTTCAGAGGGGTGGAGCTCCGTCAGCATTTGACAGGATCCTGGTAAGTTTAGAGAACACAACCAGCCAAGGTGGGTGATCCAATACATGTGTACCAATAAGAATCAGTGGTAAGTCTCTTCAGCCCAACTGGGTCACACCTCTTGGCATTTAACTCTGGTTTCTATAGCGTGAAGTGACTAGGCTCACACCTTTGGATGTAACTCTGGCTTCTATAGCATGAAGCAAAAGACTCTCACCTCCAGCCATTATCTCTGGTTTCTACAGCATGAAGCGACTGGGTGTATTTCTGCTCCTGTTGGATGGGGTGTTAGTTCATTGCAGGTTAATCCCCAGCAGGCTTTTAACCAGATGGGCCTCCAGGTGTCCCGTGGACAACCACTTATATTAAAGAAAATCGTTTTATTTTTCATATGTTGTCTTATAAATTGTTCATTTGAGCAGGCCTCATAGTACATTTTGGACGGCCACTTTTCAGCCTAGTCCCCAGCATCCTGACAAGTTGGCCCAACAATAACATTTGCTGGTATCCATTTCTACTCCTGGGTGTAGAGATCATGTACTGTGAGAGAAAAGTGTCTTCCATGCATTGATCCCAGCCAGAGTTCAAACCCAAACCACTCAGTGTGGAGTCCAGTACACTAATTGTTATGCCACCATGGCTCACGATAATTATTAGTAGGGAAGATTAATTTGTTGTGAGTTTGTTTAGCAGTTTTCCAGAGGCAGGGTCCAGGGGCCTCACAGTTAGTGCGCTCGCCTACAGATCAAGTGGTCCAGGTTTGAGCCCTGGCCAGGGTTATTGTGTTGTGTTCTTGAGCAATCTGATGCTATACTCACAAAGTACCTCTCTCCACCCAGTACTGGGTGAATGTAAAGCTGTGAGGTCATCCTGCAATGGACTAGCATCTCATCTGGGGAGGAGTACACAGAACTATTCCCAGTTGCTTCATGCTACGGAATCCGAAATGAGTGCCAGCCTGATGGGCCACCTAGCTCATAATGCAGACCTTTTGTTTGGTAGTGGCTTTTCATTATGTCATTAATGTCAGCATCTAGTAGACTAAACCAAACATTCTTAAATTTCAAGCAAAAAGGTTTACAAAATTAGTGTAAATGATGTGAAACCTTGAAAGGGTGCTGTATACTGAGTAGCAGGTCAACTGCAATTGAATTACTTCAATCTTCAATCAACCAGGTTAACTAACAACAATTGTGAGAAGTTAAGATATGATATCAATTGTTGATTGTTATACATTGAACTCGCTCTCTCTTTTTTAATTGGCTGAAAACATACAGTGAATTTTCGAAGTCAGCGCCTGTGATGTCATCTAGCTGCAGATTATACAATAATCATGTCAAGGACACTCAAAATCACGGGTAGTCATGTCATGTATGACCTCTGTGCGTGGTTTTTTAGGGTAATCATGTAAAGTTTGCGGGCTTTGTGTTGCTTGCTGTCAGTGAAGAAGCAAAAACATGACTTCCCTTTTTTTCGTTCAGTGTATAATAAAACGGTTATTACAGTAGATTTGGTTTTTGTGATATCCAGAATAATCAAGGTCTTGGTAAGGGTTATCAGCCCCTACCTCGACCTTGATTATTCTGGATACTACAAAAACCTCATCCAATAATTGGTTAAATATTATTTTTTATACTCTTCCACTCAGTAGATGTGTACTTTATTTAAGCATTTCTTAACTTGTCTTTTTTACAGTCCTGCCGCATGGGTGCGGAGGCTGCCCTTGCTGTTCTGGATGCCAAACCTGAAACAGCACCATGTGTTATCTGCCTAGATGGCAATAAACTCAGTAAGAGACCATTGATGGAATGCGTAGAAAAGGTATATATGTGCATATTTGTTTGTGTCATGACCAAGTCTGAGTCACTTAGGTCCTCCAATTAACATAGGGCTGTAATGACAGACTAGTCATAGTCCAGCGGCCAAGAGCTATGGGAGATGAAAGTATCAAATGAAGGTGTTGATTAAGAAATTTTAGGAAATTGGCATGACTTTTCCAGGGAAATCCAAAACAACTGACTTTGGAAGGTGAAGTTCTCAGCAAATCCAGCAACCGAGAAAAAGTGATGTTTCAAGCTCTCATACGACAAAAAGTTGCAATTATGAAAACAAGAACAAGAACACAGATGATTTTGCGTTCATTTTCCGTCTAATGCACCTGCCAGGGAAATGTTTGAATGTTCTGGAAGACAAGTACAAATACATGTTTGTATCAAATGGCAGACTATTGCAGTGAAGGAAGCAACCAAGGCAAAGAACTTTGAGGAAGTAGTCAAACTAAGAGGAAGGTACTTGTAATAATCATTTACTTTTCCTTCTCTATTGTGTGCTCCCTTATAAAATTCATTCATTTATCCTCTGCTGAACACCAATTGTTTCATTGAAGTAATTCGCTATGGGTCAACTCATATACAGTTCAAGCTTGTAGCATGTTAGCTGCCTTTGTGTGTAGGTATTCGCTCAGCCCTATGGAGCAACTCCATAGTTAGGGAGTTTAAAGAAAACCACATTGACAACGGCAACGGGATCGCCACCAAACAAAATGTTTAATGTACACGTGCGTTATAATTCTTGGTACATTCCTTTGCTGTACTCTGCAAAACAACAGCGTGAAATGGCCAAATTCTGCGTTGTCCGGAGAAAAGAAGCAAGACGGTTACATAATTTTCTGAACTAATTTCTATTTGGAATTTGGCACTGTGTTCCATAATCAATTTCAAGATAGCTTTGGCAAAGACAAACGAACTAAATGACGTTAGAATAGAGTATTGCAAGATTCGTTATTAAAGTATAAATTTTTGCGAGAAGAACGATTTTGCGACCTATATGCAGAGAAAGGGACTTTACGGCTATTTGTGCTTTTAGCTAAGATTACCTTCGTTTAACTGCAGTGTATTTTCTTGTTGCTTCAGAACCTTCAAGAGTAACATNAAAAAAATTGTCAAATAGTAATTTATTACATACTGTATAATTTCCTGTTGTACATAGCATGCTGTTTATCACTCTAAATTGAAGTCTGTCGTGAATAATATTGTTACTGACAACAAAACTCTGAAAGTTATTCGTCAAGAAATGCTGTAATTCATTAGCATACAGCTACCCCTGTGAGCAAGATTCTGAAATTGATCAAATAGCGTGGCAGTGTTGTCATAGGCATAACAAATTTACACAAGGTCAGAGGCCTTCTTTGTAACATGATACATGTAGTGTTTCAGCAATTATTTGTAACATACACTGTAGCTGTAAAGTAAGTAAGAAAATTTTATTAATAGTTACAGATTATAAACGTCACATCAATATAGACACCCTTCACATCTGATACAGAGAACCTTGCAGGTTCAACTAAGAATTTTGCATAAACATTTGGAGTGGAATGATGAAATGTAATTTTTAGTGTTGCTTAAAAATTACTATAAAAATTATGGACATTGTAGAGCAGTTTTCAATTGAGAGCCAGAAAACCGAAACCAAACCAATTACTATACTTACCAATTAGACTACTCAGCCAATCCAAAACCATAGAAAAACCAAATCCAACACCAACTTAATTGCCAAATTACTTTTGGCACTCAAATGAAAACTGCTTTATGACTTAATTATACAATGTAAAATTATTGAGTGACGTCTTGTCTTATCTTGTAGCCACCAGAGGACATTTGTTTTGGAAGTGATGGGAAGACACTGTGGGTATGTTTGATTATACTTCATAGGGTTTTTAAATCCTGTTTACAAGCCATGTAGTGTCTCATTCAAACAGGGAAATATGTTCCTTTTCCAACAAACTTATTTTTTATTCACTTTAGGCTATTCTAGACAAAATTGTCCCTCAAATCATCCTTCCCTACTGATGTAATAGTTCATATAAATTAAATAAATATGGTTTATATTATTTTATACTTAGTGATGTAGGTTTAGCTTCACTTTCTCCTGGTTAGAGTCTTCTCGACCCAAGTTACACATGCGAGTTATATTCATGTGCAGTCATGTAGGCCATAATAATATTTATTAAGTAGCTTTCAAAGCATTTAATATATACAAATTCACCAAAGAACATTAATTTTAAGGTCCAGGGAGTTGATAATTACTTTCATTGGTCAGAATATATTTGTGCCCAAGAAATAGCACAAGAACGATTTAACTGTTTTTTGAGTTTCATGTCGTTTGACTTTGTTTTTATAATGGCTTATAACTAAAAATGGTGCTCTTTTCCACAGATATCTGGCTCTTGTTACTGGCTTAGGAGCTGGAGCTGACTATGTAAGTGTGTTTGTTTGATTTCATCACACAAAAAAAGCTAAATAATGAATAAAAAAGGAAGAGGTGTACAATAATTAGAAAGAAAGCATTGTGGGGAGTAGTGGGGAGGGATTGGAGATTCTACTGTGCATGCATTCTACTTCTATAACCGTGAGTATGCAATAAACAAGGTTTAGATCTGTGATTTCACAACAAAGGGCATGTTTAACAGCTCACGAGGGCTTAGTTACATGAATGAGATGAGCATAAATTGCAATGTTGTTTTGTCAATGTGGACGGCAGGTCTTCATTCCTGAGTGGCCTGTTGAAGAAGGTTGGGAAGACAGAATGTGCAAGCATTTGAAAAAGGTACTAAAATTAATGATCTTTTTCCAATTTCTATTAAAAATGAACTCATTTTACTTAAAGAAGTGCTCATCTAAAAGCACTTGAGAAGTGTTGATATTGGCCCGCCCTAATCTTGATGAGAAGGCTATTCCCATGGCTTTTCTGTACAGATTATAACTAGCATGTACTAGATAGTGTCTGGTAACAAATAGTTCGGTTTAGCCCTCTGCCAATGTCGAGTCTTTCATATTAATTACAATATCCCTCATTTGCTAAGCAGCCTTGTTTCACACTCTCGGGAGCAACAAACTGTAGAGATTGCAAAGATTACAAGTTAAGAATTGCTTGTTAATGAGTGAATCTTGAAATTAAAAAAAAATTACTTAAATGAGTAAATGCTTGACCAACAGATCCTGTTAATATTCATGCAGTGGAATTTTTGTAGCTCAACCAGCATGTGTCAGTAGCAAATTTTGTCTAATCTCCTGCCCCAAACAGATTTAATGAAAGAATAAATATTTAATATTTTCTTCCACAATGCAGGTCAGGGAAAGTGGTCGTCGTCTGTGTGTTGTCATTGTAGCTGAAGGAGCACAAGATGTTGCTGGAAATCCTGTGAAGTCTGATCACATAAGGGAGGTGAGATTATGGAGATTTCAATCTGTTCTTTATTGATCAATGACTGTTAAAATTGCAATGCATAAATTGCTTTTAAGATCAAAGATAGAGTGACCAGAAAATAGATGAGGTCAAGTTTGCAAAAAGTTGAATGTGTTTTAATTTTTATGAACTTAATCATTATCACTGATGTGAGAAACAATCATGTTCTTGATTATACATGTACAGTATAGGTTGTTTGAGAGGCCAAACACACGAATGTAAGATCACTCTGATGTTTGTGTGTATTTTGTTGATGATTTGTTTAACATTTGTTTTGCAGCTAATCGAAACAAATCTTCAACATGACACACGAGTTACTATTCTTGGACATGTTCAGAGGGGTGGAGCTCCGTCAGCATTTGACAGGATCCTGGTAAGTTTAGAGAACACAACCAGCCAAGGTGGGTGATCCAATACATGTGTACCAATAAGAATCAGTGGTAAGTCTCTTCAGCCCAACTGGGTCACACCTCTTGGCATTTAACTCTGGTTTCTATAGCGTGAAGTGACTAGGCTCACACCTTTGGATGTAACTCTGGCTTCTATAGCATGAAGCAAAAGACTCTCACCTCCAGCCATTATCTCTGGTTTCTACAGCATGAAGCGACTGGGTGTATTTCTGCTCCTGTTGGATGGGGTGTTAGTTCATTGCAGGTTAATCCCCAGCAGGCTTTTAACCAGATGGGCCTCCAGGTGTCCCGTGGACAACCACTTATATTAAAGAAAATCGTTTTATTTTTCATATGTTGTCTTATAAATTGTTCATTTGAGCAGGCCTCATAGTACATTTTGGACGGCCACTTTTCAGCCTAGTCCCCAGCATCCTGACAAGTTGGCCCAACAATAACATTTGCTGGTATCCATTTCTACTCCTGGGTGTAGAGATCATGTACTGTGAGAGAAAAGTGTCTTCCATGCATTGATCCCAGCCAGAGTTCAAACCCAAACCACTCAGTGTGGAGTCCAGTACACTAATTGTTATGCCACCATGGCTCACGATAATTATTAGTAGGGAAGATTAATTTGTTGTGAGTTTGTTTAGCAGTTTTCCAGAGGCAGGGTCCAGGGGCCTCACAGTTAGTGCGCTCGCCTACAGATCAAGTGGTCCAGGTTTGAGCCCTGGCCAGGGTTATTGTGTTGTGTTCTTGAGCAATCTGATGCTATACTCACAAAGTACCTCTCTCCACCCAGTACTGGGTGAATGTAAAGCTGTGAGGTCATCCTGCAATGGACTAGCATCTCATCTGGGGAGGAGTACACAGAACTATTCCCAGTTGCTTCATGCTACGGAATCCGAAATGAGTGCCAGCCTGATGGGCCACCTAGCTCATAATGCAGACCTTTTGTTTGGTAGTGGCTTTTCATTATGTCATTAATGTCAGCATCTAGTAGACTAAACCAAACATTCTTAAATTTCAAGCAAAAAGGTTTACAAAATTAGTGTAAATGATGTGAAACCTTGAAAGGGTGCTGTATACTGAGTAGCAGGTCAACTGCAATTGAATTACTTCAATCTTCAATCAACCAGGTTAACTAACAACAATTGTGAGAAGTTAAGATATGATATCAATTGTTGATTGTTATACATTGAACTCGCTCTCTCTTTTTTAATTGGCTGAAAACATACAGTGAATTTTCGAAGTCAGCGCCTGTGATGTCATCTAGCTGCAGATTATACAATAATCATGTCAAGGACACTCAAAATCACGGGTAGTCATGTCATGTATGACCTCTGTGCGTGGTTTTTTAGGGTAATCATGTAAAGTTTGCGGGCTTTGTGTTGCTTGCTGTCAGTGAAGAAGCAAAAACATGACTTCCCTTTTTTTCGTTCAGTGTATAATAAAACGGTTATTACAGTAGATTTGGTTTTTGTGATATCCAGAATAATCAAGGTCTTGGTAAGGGTTATCAGCCCCTACCTCGACCTTGATTATTCTGGATACTACAAAAACCTCATCCAATAATTGGTTAAATATTATTTTTTATACTCTTCCACTCAGTAGATGTGTACTTTATTTAAGCATTTCTTAACTTGTCTTTTTTACAGTCCTGCCGCATGGGTGCGGAGGCTGCCCTTGCTGTTCTGGATGCCAAACCTGAAACAGCACCATGTGTTATCTGCCTAGATGGCAATAAACTCAGTAAGAGACCATTGATGGAATGCGTAGAAAAGGTATATATGTGCATATTTGTTTGTGTCATGACCAAGTCTGAGTCACTTAGGTCCTCCAATTAACATAGGGCTGTAATGACAGACTAGTCATAGTCCAGCGGCCAAGAGCTATGGGAGATGAAAGTATCAAATGAAGGTGTTGATTAAGAAATTTTAGGAAATTGGCATGACTTTTCCAGGGAAATCCAAAACAACTGACTTTGGAAGGTGAAGTTCTCAGCAAATCCAGCAACCGAGAAAAAGTGATGTTTCAAGCTCTCATACGACAAAAAGTTGCAATTATGAAAACAAGAACAAGAACACAGATGATTTTGCGTTCATTTTCCGTCTAATGCACCTGCCAGGGAAATGTTTGAATGTTCTGGAAGACAAGTACAAATACATGTTTGTATCAAATGGCAGACTATTGCAGTGAAGGAAGCAACCAAGGCAAAGAACTTTGAGGAAGTAGTCAAACTAAGAGGAAGGTACTTGTAATAATCATTTACTTTTCCTTCTCTATTGTGTGCTCCCTTATAAAATTCATTCATTTATCCTCTGCTGAACACCAATTGTTTCATTGAAGTAATTCGCTATGGGTCAACTCATATACAGTTCAAGCTTGTAGCATGTTAGCTGCCTTTGTGTGTAGGTATTCGCTCAGCCCTATGGAGCAACTCCATAGTTAGGGAGTTTAAAGAAAACCACATTGACAACGGCAACGGGATCGCCACCAAACAAAATGTTTAATGTACACGTGCGTTATAATTCTTGGTACATTCCTTTGCTGTACTCTGCAAAACAACAGCGTGAAATGGCCAAATTCTGCGTTGTCCGGAGAAAAGAAGCAAGACGGTTACATAATTTTCTGAACTAATTTCTATTTGGAATTTGGCACTGTGTTCCATAATCAATTTCAAGATAGCTTTGGCAAAGACAAACGAACTAAATGACGTTAGAATAGAGTATTGCAAGATTCGTTATTAAAGTATAAATTTTTGCGAGAAGAACGATTTTGCGACCTATATGCAGAGAAAGGGACTTTACGGCTATTTGTGCTTTTAGCTAAGATTACCTTCGTTTAACTGCAGTGTATTTTCTTGTTGCTTCAGAACCTTCAAGAGTAACATAGAGATGTTCAAAGTGCTGAAGGAAGTTGGACCGCCAGCATCCAGCCAGTGTGATGTGTCAGGGTCTTGCAAAGTATGAAATGCATGTACCTATCTTGTAAACTATTGGAAATCTGGAAGGCTGTTTGACAAAATTAATGATCAATCATCAGTCATTCGCATTTCTTCTAGACAGTGTCAATCAACGCTCTAAATCCAGTTATCGTCACAGTTTAACTTACATTGCTCACTCCCTCCCTCTCTCTCTCCCTCCCTCCTTGCCCCCTCCTCCAGGCTCAGTCTCCAGCTGTGGGTGTTTTGGTGCGCACCGAAACACCTCCAGCTGGAGACTGAGTCTACCACTCCTCCTCCCCCCTCCGTTCTCTTCTTCCATCCTCTCTTCCTTGCTCCTTCTTTCTCTCCTGCATCCCTCTTTTTTTGTGTGTGTCTCCTAATTTGACCCAGACCTGTTTTTGTTTCTTAAATATCTGATTTATCTTTGCTAGTCTGGCTATACCCTGGCAGTCATTAATATTGGTGCCCCTGCTGGAGGCATGAGCACTGCTGTACGCTCCTTTGTTCGGTTTTCACTCTATCAAGGACACTCAGTACTGGGAATCAGAGATGGTATCAACGGACTCTTGGATGACAGGGTAATACAGTTCAACTCCACTATCTCGAACTCTAAAGCTAAACGAACAGCACTTTAAGATTGTTAGAACTTTATCTATAGACCTTTGTGAGAAACCTTATTGTTTGACTTGCTAGTATATAAGTCTTAAGATGTGAGCGTTGTGGCTTCAGCAAGTTTTCTCACCGTTTTAAAACAGTGGAGCTGGACCTTCCTGAAGATTTGCATAGCAAAGAATCATACTGTAGCAGTGTTTGCCATTATATTTCAAACAGGTTGAGTTACTGGGATGGCTGCATGTTGACAGCTGGGCAGGCATGGGTGGATCAAAGCTGGGCACTACAAGGTACATTGTATATGAAAGTACAACCGCAGTTCTAATATGAATTATTTCATATATTCTTCACGTACATAGTATAACACGCCAATGTAGTGGAAGTAACCGGTCTGTTAGAGTTCTGTCCTCAAATCTACAATTCTTAGTAGTAGAGTTGTAATAATATAGACGGACATGGTGGAACTTTTGGGGGAATCCAGTGGACACAATAGTTTTCTTAGTTGAACGAAGTTTGGCAAATTGAAATTAGGTTATCGAATAACGTGAAATTTAACTCTCATTTGTTAACAGAGACAACTTCTAGGTATGTTGTGTGAGCGAACTATCAGAATTTTAAAGAAACCGCACAAATGAAGCTTTTAGTTCCAGGTTCCTGCCATAAATTATACAAAACAGTCAAAACAATAACAACTTCAGTCGCACATATTAGCGACGAGGATTGTTTTCTTAATGTGTTAGTTGCAACATCTTACATGAACTTTATTTTGACTGATTTTTATACTTTTCTGGCTTTTCAGAACATTACCTTCCAAAAACTTACAGAAAGTTGTAGAGCAGTTTATCAAGTACAACTTTCAAGGGCTGCTCGTCATTGGCGGTTTTGAGGTGAGACTTAATCCGAAAGAGTCATATTGATGTGGGGTTTTTTTTTGAGTCCAAGCTTTAAATATAAATCTCCTTTCTTATTGCGGTACATTTCTTTCACTTAGTTCTAAGAACTTGGTGCTTCATCAAAACAATACGCCCTAATAGTATCTGTATTCTTATCACCTGTCTTCTTGACAAATTTTGAACATTGTAGGAAGTTAGAAGAGTTACTATATAATATGTCGGAGATTTGCGTGATTTGTCGTTTTCGTTGTCCAGTAGAGGCAGCATTTCTCAACTTTTTGTGTATTTTGTTCGTAATGAAAATAACGCCAAACCATAGCTAAAACGCTTTGATATGCCATAAAAGTACCTCTCTTCTAAGCGTGCACTTTGTCTTTTCTCAAGGGTGTCCACTTCTGGAAGGTTCTAAGGGTATTAAGTAAATGCAATTGTGAGCTTTACTATCAACGCTTCTTTAAGCAAATATTCTGAGAGGGATTATTGTATTCTAGCATCATAGCGCTGAACATTACTCGCTGTGACCGTTGTTTTTGTTGTTTGTTTTTTTTTCTCCCAGGCCTATCATGCTGTTTTACAACTCGCCGAAGCACGTGAAAAGTTCCCTGCATTCCGTATTCCCATGGTTATCATCCCTGCCACGATCAGTAACAACGTCCCTGGTACAGACCTTAGTCTAGGTGTTGACACAGCTCTTAATGTTATCACCGAGGTAAGTTTACTTCTGTGCAGCAGTTATGGAATGCAATTGCCTCTTACTGCATACAAAAAACTCGAACTTCAAACGTTCAACTCAGTGGTTAGTGGTATGATGCTAACAATGGCCTATGTAGCAAGCTTTATTTGAAACGTGGCTCACTTTAAGTTGTTATTTTCTTGGGTTCTAGCGTTTTCGTTTCGTTTTTTCCCTTTTTTATTGGAGAAAACCTGTTTTCGCTTGCTTGGTTAAACAACTTATTCATGTTTCAGACAAAGTTGTTAGGGATAAAGTTCCCTACGGACGAAAAAAAAGAAAAGAAAAACTTCACCAGTCCCAACCGAATTTAGCGGTTGATCCAGGTAGAACTAGGCCGAACGGTTATCAAATGTTTCAATGGAAAACAGTTGGAGAAGCTTTAACCAAGTTAACTAAAACTGACTGTGGTTCAAACAGTTGGTTCCAACAGACCATGACCGATGTGCAGCACTTTTTTTCTTTTTTTCTTGTCGACACAGAACTGTGATCGCATCAAACAGTCGGCCAGCAGCGCGACAAGACGAGTGTTTGTAGTAGAGTGTATGGGCGGATACTGTGGTTACCTGGCAACAATGAGCGCCTTAGCTGGCGGCGCGGATGCGGCTTATGTCTTTGAGGAAAAACTGACGCTTAAGCATTTGAAGGTAGGTACTATCTTTTACTACCTTAGTGTTGGATTCTCCACCATACCTGAAGCTTGTGGTTCGAGCCCTGGCCGGGAACATTGCGTTGTGTTTTTGAGCAAAACACTTTACTCTCACAGTGCCTCTCTCCACCCGGGTGTATAAATGGGTACCGGCGAACTTAATTCTGGGGGGTAACCCTTGCGATAAACTAGCATTCCCTCCAGGGGGGAGTAGAAATACTCCCAGTCGCTTCATGCTACAGAAACCTCGATAAACTCCGGCCTGATGGGCCACTTGGCTCGTATGCAGACTTTACCTTTATCGCTTGCGAAGAAACGTCTCTCTTGCCAGCTAGCATTTTATTGTTTTCTACCAGTTGAATCACATTTTGCCTGCCTTTTTTTTACAGACAAACATCGAACATTTAATAGACAAGATGAAAGGCTCTATAAGGAGGGGACTTATTATAAGGTACGACAAATCCTTCTCTCTCTCTCTTTAAAGCAGCTTCTTAAGAAGCATCGTTTGAACGATCACAGTCAAAGACAAATTGAGATGACATTTATTTGTACTTTGCTGAATTTACAGTGTTAGTATAGGTCAAACCAGCTGAACTGAGCTGATCTGGCTATATAATCGTTTAATGATGCTCATGGAAATCGGATGCTAGGAATTTCCTGGCATTCGTGAAAAAGCTTCACGACAGCACGTAGGGGTGGCGTGGCCGAGTGGTTTAGAGCTGGTTCAAATCCTCAGTCCTACCGCTATCTGGATTTGTTCTTGGTAGTCCCGAGTTCAACTCCTCGAGCGCGTTGTGGGAATAACTAACTGGTCAGCCTCCCACCAGTTGGGATTTTTACAGTAACATCGTAACAGTTTATGTTCTGTTTGCAATATTTGTTTTAGTTATTCAGTGTCACCAATTAGCGCAACAGTGCTAAATACATTTGACACTTTAGTAAAGGTATTTACAATTTAATAGAACAGAACAAAACAAAACAAAGACAACAATATCGCTGGGTCTTGCTATTTTTATTTTCCACTGTGTTTTGTCTTTTTATATAGAAACGAGAAATGCAGCGAAAATTACTCCACTGATTTTATCGCGGCGTTGTACCGTGAAGAAGGCGAAGGACTGTTCACAGTCAGAACCAATGTGCTTGGTCATGTACAGCAGGTGAGATTTTAAGCTACTTCTTTACATCTTAATATTTTGCCCTTGGTGTGGTGAACGACCTACTCCTATACCTAATTGGAACGGTTTTCTTTCGTGCTGTGGAATAAAGTGATTTATACCATGCCATAGAAAATACAGCCAATCAGAATACAGGAAAGCCGTTGTATATACATCCAACCTTCCCATCATGCGCCACGCGTATGCCGCATTAAATTTGTTGGCCACTGTATTTTCTACATGCTTGGTATAAAATAGTTATTCGACGCTATCTCGAGGTACACCTTGGAACATCCCACTCTTCGCTTGGGAAACACACGCGCCTTAAGGTGAGTGTGTATACCAAGAAAATACAAAAGTGACAAGTGGAATATTCCTTGGTATACACTCGTAAGTGTTACTTAACTAGTATGTACCATATCCTTTGTTGTTTTAAAGAAAATATACTCATATTTCACATCAGATATGAACTTTAAATCCTGTTGATGCCAGAATATTTTTACGAGTTACCACTGTTTATTCACCAGGGAGGATCGCCGTCACCTTTCGATCGGATCCAGGCCACCCGACAAGCGACGCGGGCTGTAAACTGGCTCACGGAAAAGATTGGTCAGAATATAACTGATGAAGGTAACAGGGCAGTAGATATTTTTTCCCATTGCACTATTAAAACAGCTGAGAAGTCCAGAAACTCAAATCACCCAATCAGAATGTTTTATTTCCTGTGCCCAAGTATTTGGCTGGGAAAATTTAAAAATCGCTCACAAGTCGAGCGGAATATCTTGGTCGAGACTTATTTGATAGAAGTGTAAATAAATAAATCACATTATTTAGAGAGGAAGCCACATTAGCCCCCATCCTAGTTGGCATGGAATTTGGATGTGTTGGTTTTTGTGGAAGGAGGAAAACCGGAGAATCCGCAGAAAAACCCTCAGAGTAAGGCGAGAACCAACAACAAACTCAACCCACTTATGGCACCGGGCTGGCATAAAACCCGGGCCACATTGGTGGCGAGCGCTCTCACCACTGCGCCATCCCTGCTCCCAGAATATTAGGCGTTGTTATATTTCGCCTCTATCGCACCGCCACGAAAAAAATAAATAAGAACGCCTGATGGCACATTGTTCTTCAGTAGTGCCAGCGTTGCATTCAGTTTTGATTCTACATTTCTAGTGACGTCTGACACGAGCATCCCACAGAAAGAAATTCGGCAACTTAACCAGTATGTTCTATTTCTTGCGTCGTGTGGACCTCCGCATTCAAAAGATTTTTAATATATCTTTTATAGGCTAGCTGAAAAATGTGCGCATGAGCGTGTAACGGAGAGCTTATAACAAGAAGTTTTGGGGGGAGTGTGATCATAACCGATATTTTACGGCATGATATATATTTTCTCTTTAAGGATTAGTTGAAACCTCATCTCCAGACACAGCTTGTCTGCTGGGCATCAAGAAAGCGGACAATCCTTTTACGCCCGTTGAAACATTGAAACTCGTTACAGACTTTCAGTAAGTTTTAAAGTCATTGTTATCCGAAAAGTTCCTCAAAGAATACTGTTTAACTAGCTTTCATTTCAGTGGTCACATGTTAGAGTTTCGTCTACTGATTTTAAGTTAGAACCACAGTGTACAGCACCACATCGCAATTCTACTCGGTAACTTTCATTTGAATGGTCAGACATTACTGAGGGTTTCATCGACAGACTTAAAAGTAAGAACACCGTCTTTAGCATAATAAACAGTACCACATGAAAGTACTGCTCAGTAGCTCTCATTTGAATGGTTACACACTAGAGTTCCATTCACAGATTTGAAAGTTAGAATCAGTTCGTACGACATAATAAACAGTACCACATGAAAACACAGCTAAATGACTTTAATCGGAATGGTCACACAATAGGGTTTCATCCACAAATCTTTGACGACTGGAGTAAGTGTTTTCTGCTCTCCACAGGCATCGCGTTCCCAGAGATCAGTGGTGGTTAGATCTGCGTTCTCTTCAGAAAATCCTGGCCAGATATCACCAAAACTTCGAATACCATAGAGAGGACGACTTGTCGCCTCTCAAGTGAAGCGCTCGTGATGTGCAGGTGTTTCTGTGACGCGTCCTGGCCTGCTGATCACGTGGACTCGTGAACTGGATTGTGATTGCCAAAACGAGGCACGGTTATAAACAGGCCGTTAAAGCAGACACGCAAATGAAGTAACCGAAGTTAGGATTATTTTAATTTCATTTAACGTGTCTAAAACAAAGATGTGAATATATGTACAAGAAAAAATGGTTCCCTGTGCTGAAGAGTGAAAATTATTCGTTATTATTATTACTATTATTATTATAGGTATAGTCTACATTGTTCATGGTGAAATATCTTTTGTTGTGCAGTGTTCGCTTAAGTCTTCAAGCCCCAGACCAAAATTTAAATTCACCTTACTCGTAGCAGTATAGTTCTGATTATCTTGTTTGGAGAATTTTGCATTACATGTATGGTTTTGACTTTCTGATTTTGAGAATGAAGGTGTTTCGTTAAGAACGTCTCGATCCCAGGCTCTCTCACCAAAGAAGAAAAGGAGGAAGAGGGCCTGGGATCCAAGCTGTTGAATAATTATTTCTCCTCTCGTCGATGCCAGTAAATATGTTGTTCCCTCTGAATATGTTGATAAGAGAATTGTTGCTGCCTCTTAAATTTTGATCAGTTGATATGGCAACAACTGTAGATTCAATCACATAACCAAACAAAGCTAGGCTGTTTTGTGTCTATTTTAAAACTTGTGGACGGACGAGTGTGCTTTTGTCATAGGTAGTTTCATTGAAAAGGATATACGATTTGTTTGAACTAGATGCGAATAGAATGTGTTAATTACTTCCCTACTGACTCCATTGACTTTCAAAGAAGAGAATAGATAAAGGATGACCACCATGAAGAAAAGAGAAAATATTATATATGAACTTTAGAACAGATGTATAGGATTTAAACTCTTTATCCTTCACAAAGCGTAGACTGTTGTCGTGATAGTGCTGTAGTTGAAAGCTGTTTACAAAGAACTCTAAGCGTGTTAGTGTACCGGAACTAAATTATATTTGACTGCAAGCATGACTAACACGATACATGTGTATAACTGCTAGTGTCAATAAAAGAAAGATAGTAGTACCTTAAAAAAGATGCATTTTGTCCCTAACTGACTTTGAAAAAAAAAAAAAAAAAGAATGATTAACTAGAATGACGAAGCCTACGAGCAGATCAAGCCCATTCCACTGACAGGTCTCTCTGACGACGAGGTAGCTCTAGCGAGACGTCCGTTTCAGCGCCCAACCCTTTACCGCCAACTTCGTTAGGGAAAAGCACCCTGGGGACAAGGTTGCTTTCCTGCCCTAATTGCACCTTTGGTGGGTCCCGTGTGATCGGCACGTGTCGTTCTCGTGCGACTTCGTGGTTTGGTCGGGCATGAGGCCGCGAACAAGAACTGACCCGCCTCTCAGGCCGCCCTGACCGTCGTTTGTGCCATCAATTTATTGGTACGATTGCCAGAGACTAGCTTCTGTGATAACAACTGTGAAGATTTTACTAGAAAACGATAAGGGTGTTTACGATTTTGAAATTTTACACTTTGTTTGAATACCTGAGCCATGGTGGCCTAGCGCGTATGCGGTGCAGCCATCTTGTTCAATGGACAGGTTAGTGAGCTTACATAACATAGAAGGCCGCCTTTATCCCCCCAGACTACCACGGCCAACTTGAAAATTCAAAATGGCGGCAAAAGGCTGTGGGTTGAATTTAAATATTTATTTATGCAGGAACCTTCTGGTGTTATGTCAAGGCTTACCCGGAGGGCGTCATGGCGGAGGCAAAAACGTTGAAAATTGCAAGGCTCGTTGCGCTAGCCCACATTGTTGTTGGAATTTTGCTACTGATTTTTGGAATCGTCGATCGTGTCGAAGGTTACTTTTGGACTGGCGAGGGATGTTTTGGTATCTGGTGTGGAATATGGGTAAAATTGCTCTCACTTAATAATTTTGCGTAGCAACATTTTTTTTTTCCGCCTTTGTTGAAAATCATGCAGCATGTCATAGTTAAGTGTCGGCCAGCTTTAATTTTCTGGCCAATATATCTAGGAGCGAATGATCGACCGACGAAATTGTTTAAATTCGCGATGAATCGGACCAAACCATGAATACGGCTATCGCACGTATTAAATTGCAAATTGTCACCTTCGTCGATCAATTCGTTTCTTGTACAAGTTTTTGCATAACTATGGCTTTCGTGACCTTAATGTAAGCTTACATACGCATAGCAGGCAGGATTTTTTTATTTGGGACCCCGCTTATTAAAAATTTCTCGGCAAGTTTCTTAAGGTCGAATTTGTTCGGAAACATTGTTTTCCATGAACAAGTGATAATATTAATACCTATATGCGATCAATTACTTACCATAAATTATTGTTGAACAATCTTTGAACATTTGTATCAGATTACAGTGCTTGCGGTAAAAAGGTGCATCGACCAATACATGTATATACCGGGGTATCAAATATTTCCATATCGTGATACTGAAAGGGGTGGCAAATGGTCCTTCAAAAACTCTGGGTCTCGCAAAATTTTAGTTGAATTTCACGGGTCTCGCAGTCTTGTTTTTTATACAAAGGTGTCTTGGAGTCTCAATTTTGGCAAGGCTAAGGGTCTCGAAGTCACGATTCATTTGTTTGTTTTTTTAAAATGACGCTAGGAAAATAATAGAGTTTATGGACTGTTGACAGATTTTCAGATCTGATGTCTAGTACAAGGGTTTACAACAAAAGGCTCCTTTGTAAGACTTTTGTACAAGCTCATTCTAGCTCATCCTCATAGCTCTCAACCAAATCTGGAGCTCAAATTTTAAGTCTGAACATCTCGNGCCGCGATTTAAACTTTAGGATCAGCTTTTTATGTCAATAGACAGCTTATGCAGGTGTTCACGCGCACATGATGTATTAAAAAAAGGATCATGTCAGGCCACGATTTGGGAAAAATTAAAATAAGCGCCCCCCCCCCCCCCCCCCCCCCCCTACTGAAGTCATTTACATGGCAGAATCTCAATAACAGCTATTGAAATGCTGGTAGCTTTCTAAAGTAGATGATAGTGGTTGAATTTCACATGTTTATGTTGCTTACTTTGCACTGTTAGGCTAAAAATAACTAAACATGATTCTGTAGTGAGCAGTTTTATATTTATTTTCATATGTGATTTATCTTCGACAGCTAACAGCACAGAAAATATGATTTTAAATTGTGAAAATTTCATACTCTGGGACAAATTTTCCAGAAAGTAATGGTCCAAAATCTTTAAATTTTCTTTGTATGAAATGTCATGAAACAGTTAGAATGGGGAGTGTTGCAGGGCAGACCATCTAAGTGCAATATGTAAGTGCAAACCCAAAGAGCAAATGTAGAGTGTGAGGAAGAAAAGGAAGAAAAATGAACTGTCTTTAGACACCCCATTGTTAAATAAATGCTCTTCAACCAGTTCTCCTCATGAGCAGTTTTTCTGATTGTTTGTTTTATATTGTGTGACAAAAGAAGTGAGGGATTTCTAAAGTTCAGTTTTCCGAAAGTGAAGCTCAAGAAAAACTGGGTCATGTCTAAAGACAAATATCCCTGTATAAAGTCAAGTGGGGGCTTAATTGTGTTTATATTATCCTTCAAAAGTTTTTGACAACACACAGGATCTGCTCTGTCTGGGCTGTCTTGAAAATTGGGGAATATCAGAGAGTTTTAACTGTGGCATATTCAGTCACATCAGACATAATGCATTTAGATCAATGGTGTGTGACCAAGAATATTTGATGGATTAAACAATGTACATTATAATAGACACTGGGTTTGTTTGCGATTATACATGACTCATTATGATTATTTGTTTGGTTATAACTTATTCTGGCATGTATTGCAGATGATTATCACTGGATCTGTGGGAATTCCAGCTAGCAGCAGGGAAAGAAACTCATCCAGCCAATCTTTTGTAAGTTGTCACCCTTAATTCTGAGGCAGTGATAGGTTGAAGTCATATGCTTAAAAATAGCTCCTCAAACTCATTAATAATTCATCAAGTTAAACCAAAGAAAATCAAAATGCTTACCGTAAAGGAGGTTTGGATAACTGGTCTTAATTAGCATAGATTTTGATGATTTTACTTCTCCGTTTACAGGACTTAGTTTTGTTTCAATTGAGAAGATATATCAAACACTCAAGACACTGTTTCATGGGCTATCTAAACACCTCGAATTTTGTCAGAAATACTTTGTTGCGCGTCATATTTTCAACCCTGTTCTCGGTGTTTGGATGTCTTGATGAAAACTGTCCCTCGGGTTTGATAGATTATGTGAAGTTAACTGTTAATGAAGCAAAATGTAAACAGTGATGTTAGCAAAGATTTCTCTATGATTATATTGATGAAGAACAACAGTAGCTCAGTAACGTAGTCCAGGTTAGTCATTGTAATTAATTTAACTTTGCAGAACCGAAGTGGGGAATTGGAGGCTACATTTTCATAATGTATCATAATAACTTTATGGTTTACATGTAATGTACATGTATGTAGAAACAGGTATACTGAACATGCAGTAGATAATTTTATATTTATGGTTAGATAGCACTTAGAAGGTGATGTTTTTAATTTTTTTTTAATTTTTCTTTTTTTTTCCTTCAAAGTTTTGTATTGTGTATTTTTATTAGTTTTATTTTTGTTCCTTTTTCCAGGCTGGAGCGTTTATGGGCTGCGCCATAACATCGGCTGTGTTTGGCGGCGTAATAATTATCTGCTACAGCATCTCCATTGCACAGCATCATTATTATGATTATTGGTATGATTTCAATTATTGGTACAATTATGATGCAGAAATGGCTATAACGGCAATCACCTTGATTCTTGGTATTGTTGAGTTTGCAATTGGAATCTGGGCAGCTGCCCTTTGCTGCTATATCACTTCATGTGAGTGCTGTGGTACCTCACCTGAGCAAGTAAGTGTTTCTTTTTTGGTTTTTCTGTTTCAGACCTTCTGTTCTGGATAAATTTACAGTTGTAACATCATTCAACATTAGTTTGTGTAGTGTGATCGTCCGAGTGAGGGTAGTTCTGAAAAGAGCTGTTGTTGGTGACTGACATTTCGACAACCTGAGTTGAAGTCATCTTCAGAGTCAAGTGAATAGTCTTTGTCAGTCGATGATGTTATAAGTCTGGTCCGTTGAATGTGATTGGTCAGTTTAGCCATGATGGTATTGGCTGAAAGACTCGTGTAAAGTTTGTCATCAGTCATTGGTCGGTTTCAATCTGTCTTTGTTAGTCAATTTGGTCGGGTTTTGGTCCATCTATTGTTAGTCAAATTAAGTTGGTCTGTTAGAAGTCATTCAACATGATGCACAGCATTAAGTTACAAGATCTACATAATTATAAAGTTTGCCAGCCAACACAGTAAATTAAAATTATCTGTAACATTTTATACAATCATGTACCTAAAGTTTTCAGTAATTTAAGCTTTGTCAGCATATTAGTCAAGCTTGAGCAAGCCATGGTTTGTATCTTGTTAATACCGCAAAAGGCAAAATGCCCATGGCAAGATCAAATGAACCAGATACTGTCAATCAGTATGCTACCAAAGCATCCAAAATAAAAGATACATTGTACTGTACCCAAATATGGCCACAAATCTAGCCAAATCCCCAGGGGTTTCATTAAGGGCCGGGCACCGTGCAAATTGACCAGCTGTGAGGATGATTTTGCCCAGCTGGTTTAACCAGTTAGTGGAAAGTTACAAATGAATGCAATACCAATTTTCAAAAAAGCTAAAAGAGAAATGAATTGATTGGTATAAGGGAAATGACTTTTGGTACAAAGTTTCAGGAGAGAGATCAGGATTCTACTGTAATTAAGCTCTTATAACTGGTCAGGAGGTTTGTATGGGAGAATCTTGACCGAGGTCGTGAGTACAGACTGAATGCAGTGAGGTCTGTACACATGACCGAGGTCAAGATTCTCCCATACAGTCTGACTAAGCTCTGTTAATAAGATGTTTATTACATGGCAAACAAGAACAATTTAATTCGTTTAATGAAGCTGGTTTGTACTAGCTGACATTTTGCTTTCAAATGGCAATGAGCCAAACTTAATTTTGCCAAAGTTTGCTCATTTTCTTTCCTTTTTTTCACATCAGGCTTTTTGGCTCTTACATAAATAAATATTGTTAGAAGAAAATAGTCAATATTTTTTGCATTTTAGTTTGCAACCTTTTCACTGCAAAACATTACCGGTGTAGATGCCGGTCTAGATAGGAAAATCTGGACCGCTTTCAAAATCTATTTCAGCCAATCAAATTCGTGAATTCAGTAGTTCTCAGTCATTGAGACATAGCCATAATTATAATAAAGTGGCATACTAAACAATGCTACAACAGGACATTGAATTGCAGGCCAGCCAATCTTAACATCAGAACACACTGAGCTCATCAGTTACATAATATGTTACCTTGCTTTCTTTGTTTAGACAACCTCTGTGGTTTACGTGAGCAATCAGGGCGTGGTATCAGGTGGTTATATAATGGGACAAGGCCCTGGTGGTGTTCCTATTGCATTTCCTGTGCAACAAGCTGGAGGTGTTGTTGCTGTTCCAGTGTCCTCATCAGGAGCTGTTGGAGTACACCCTCAAATGGTCCAAGTGCCCACTGGAGGGGTCATGCATGTAGCTGGCCAGCCACCAATGTACCAAGTACCTGCATCTGGGGCTATGGGAATGCAACCCCAAATGGTTCAGGTGCCGCCATCTGGGGCTCTGGGAGGTCAACCTCAAATGGTTCAGATGCCCGCATCTGGGACTGCAGGAGGCCCACCTCAAATGGCCTATATGCCTTCTGGGGCTGAGGGAGGCGAGTCTCAGTTTGTGAGAGTTACTCCAGATGGACCTGAGAAAGGAGGCCAAGAGCCCTTTGTCTAATACAACACGACAAAGAAAGAGGTAATCTTCAAGTTGATACTGGTCATTAACAAATCAACTTTTGCTTCTGTTTCAAAACAAATCTTTGTACGAAGAGCTTGAGTTAGGGTTTAGGTTTAACACGTGCAAAATGTTTTTCTGTCATTTGCGTGGAAATCAAACTCATTTTCTTCTGAAAAGGTTTACAAGATGACTGGTTGTGAAACAGAGGTAACATAAAAAATTGCTAAGTATGTTTTTCTTTGTTTTTTTTTTTTTTTTCTCTTTTTTAAGTGAGTCATGTCCGAGCACTGGCTGGGGTCATTGTGGTGAAGATCCTCTGCCAGTGACCCTCTTAGTCTACCAGTGTCTCTCTCTGTTCCGACGTACAGTACGTACTGAAATTAAAGTTGATCGAGTTACTTTTGTGGTCACTGTCTTCTAAGGGTTATTTGATTCGGGTGGTGTTGACAGTTGTTACACCCTTTGTAAACAAATTTTAGCACAAATGAAGTCACTTCTTTCCGGAGAAAGATACTACTTTGACGTCTATTTGGTGTAAGCCTTCGTTCTGAGCTAGTGGGTTCTGCAATTGCTTTGTCATTGACTGTCATTGAGGTTTGGAAATGTGGTAGGCTCTAACATCACCATTTCTTTTCTTATAGCATTGTGAAGACTCGCCGAGCTCTCATATATTGCAGTTTAGTGTTTTGTCTTATTCGCACCAAGAAGCACTGCACAAGTGTGAAACAATCTGTATTTATTTAAGGCTTTTCATAAGGCATTCAATTTTTATCAGCTTCGTCGAAGACGTTATAAAATAGCACAATGAAATGATGGTACACCGTGTATGTAATTTTGTAGTACTCTAAAGAATCCCAGCACATAGTATTGGAACTCTTAATGACTGTTCTTACAAGTGTGATGTAAGCTTATATGTAGCAGTGAGTGTTCGTTTAGAAGGGTACTTGTTATGCGACAAAAAAGAATCTGGAAACTAGGTGCTGAAATCTTTAATTTTATACGCTGGAGAACTTCTGGGAAACTCCGTCAGTACTGATTAGTACGAATCCTGTGAATATATCTAGTGCCAACAGAGGTTTTAACTTAGAAATTAGATTCCCTTTGCAAATTAAGAGCCATTTCGTTGCAGCCTGCAGTTGCTCTGAGGCAGCATCTACACTACGCTGGATAAATTTGAAAACGCAGCTTCATTTCGGTTAAACCGCTTAGCTTATTCCATTCCACCCCCTTTGGAGCATAGGTCCATGGAAACTGCCCGCCATCTCCTTCCGTTTTGGGCCAACTTTTCGATCTCTTTCCAAGTGTAGCCTGCCTTTGACGCCTCATTGTCCACGGTTCTCCTCCAGCTGTTTGTAGGACGACCTTGATTTCTCTTTCCCTGGGGGTTCCACCTCAGTGCATGCCTGGTAATATTTCTGATCGGTGTTGTTAGGGTGTGCCCAATCCAGCCCCACTTGCGCCTTCTAGTCTGGATGTTGATTCGTTCCCGTTCAGTTCTTTCCCACAAATCTTCATTTCTTATAAGCTGAGGCACCGTCCACACTAAGATCTGTCACAAAAAAGGAACTTTACGAAAACGCTCTTCAAACCGGAAGAATTTTAAAACGCCAGCTTTTCGTTTTCGTGTGGACTAAAAATATATCGAAAACGAAGCTTTTCGAAAACGACGTACATGTAGTCAGCCTAATCCTGTGATTTCCCTGCCCAGTTTTTCTCGAACATAAATCCAAAATGACTGGTGATTGTTGCGTTTTCAAATTTCTCTGGCGTAGTGTTGACCGAAAACATTTGATGCGTTTTCAGAGTGTAAACGCCGTTTTCAAAATTTCTCCGGCGTACAATGGAGACAATGTAGTGTGGAGGGTGCCTGAAATGGTATCTACAACCGTGCCTTATTTTACAATTGTTTGTCTATTTATTTACAGTATTTATCTACTGAGTGAGTGGCTAAACAAATAAGACTTAAAGTAAAAAGCAATTCCTGTACATAGTTTGTCAAGTCATCTCAGGAACTAAAAAAATCCATATTTATCAGCATTCAACTTACATTGATACGTGTATATTTGGGAAAGTCAACTTAAAGTAAATGAAGTAAAACAAAATCTCAGCCGTAAGCCTCGATTTTGTTTGTTTGGTTTTATTTTTATTTATTTTTTTTGTTTGTTCTTGTCGTGAGAACGTTTTTGTTCCCACATCAGTTATAGAAAATCATCAAACCGCCAGCACCCGAGCCAGGGAAAACAACTATTTTTAAATACCATGCCATAGAAAATACAGCCAATCAGAATACTACAGGAGAGCCATTGTACATTCGACAGTATTACAAAAAACCTTTCCATCGTACGCCACGCATATTTCGCATGATTGTGTTGGCCACTGTAGTTTCTGCGGCATGGTGCGAAATAGTTATACAACGCTCTGGCGTGCTATACCTTGGAATATCCCACTTGTCACTTGTCACTTTTGTTATATGGCTGTCTCACAAGGACTGGGTACTACCGAATTCACGAATTTGATTGGCTGAAATCGAAGAATGAAGTTCAGCTCATCACCTTTCGCAAGCAAAATGCCACTTAGTACAAGCCAGTTGCGTTAAACGAATTAAATTGTTCTTGTTTGGCCATATAATAAACATCTTAATAACCGAGCCTAGTCGGTCTGTATGGAAGAATCTTGACCTCAGTCGAGTGTACAGACCTCACTGCGTTCGGTCTGTACTCACGACCTCGGTCAAGATTCTCCCATACAGGTCTCCTGCTCGGTTAATAAGAGCTAAGGCATACACACGAGTCTTAAACGTGTGTATATATTTAGAAAATGTTGGACAGGAAATAAGCCACTCTCATTGGGTGATTTTAGTTTCTAGGTACCGGCTTTGAAAGCTACGCCAAAAATGCAATCGGCGCAGCTTGACTATATTTTTTCACTGAACAATCCCACGTTATATTTCCTGTGTAGCTTCTCATTCCTGGTCACCGTCAGTGCCACGCCCTGTGGGCTTTAGGTGGCGGAGTCACGAACTCGGGCTGCCCTCCCTTGTCGGATCTAAGCTAAAGTTCTCCATCTCTTTCCTTCTGAAGAGAGAGCGACTAAGGAGGTCCACCGTTGTACGATTGTCTGTACAACGCGCGCAACTTCTTGACCAAGTTGAAAAAATTGGCCACGTGATATAAAAACTAGCAGTAATAGACCAAAATTTAGTTCAGCCGAACACAATAGACCTCAGCACGAGGCTCTAGGGAATAAACCCTACAAACTCTAGTTATTACCCAGAGCCTGGTACTGAGGTCTATTGTTTTAGGCTGAATTTTAATATATCGAAAATGGTCTATTCGCCATTTCCACACTTCCAATAAGACACCTTGTTTGCCCCCAAAATTCTGCATAACCTTTGTTTCCCATTTCTCCTGGGTATTACAGTCGTCCCAGAGAAACTGAAGACAATGCTTATGCAAAATTTTGGGAGGTGTATTATGGGATTGCAAGAGACGACGATCGTCTCATGCGCGTGTTCAATGAACAATTTTACGATAACTGCAGAAATTCTCGCGCGCTCATTGGCTAATTTTTATTGTCAATGAGTGGACAGACACATGATTTGTAATTTATGCGATGCGTCAACGAGCGAGAGCGGACAATTTGACAATTTGTTATCGCAAAAAACAAATTGATATCAGTTTTTAATGCGTCTGTTGTGTTATTGACAATGAATTTCGTCATAACATTGTCAAAGTAGTCTGGGGATCCACCCGGCTATCGCCTCGTGGATGCCAGCTACTTTCAGGACAGACGCGTGAAAAACTGACGTCAATTTAATTTGCTAATGCTTGTAGGGTTTGAAATGCTCCCGCACCGAGTCTGCGCGGGCTGACATCCTTGGCGGCATTTAAGGCATCAGAATGTTGAATCAAACTCCCAGTGTATGAGATATACGGCTCGGGCTTTACTTCACTTTGACCATCCACTCACAGACGAATGAGAGCTCGTTAAACTGATCCGCCATTCTTGACCCCAGTCCTTTCGCTTGCTTGACAGAAGAGAAGCACTTGTCCCCCCCTGAGGGGGATCTGAGAGTCAAGCAAAAGAGCAGGCAAGGTTGGTTGCGTTTTGATAAACTCTTCTATAAAATGACTCTAACCGTCAAGATCAAACTCCTCCGTGTCTTGTCTATTGTTCAGTGCTGGATAGCACTGTGGTTGATAGTGCTTGGGATTGTGGAACGCGCTCGAATCGATTGGAGACTTTCTGGGCTTGGTATGCCCATCTGGACTGGAGTTTGGGTGAGGATTTGTTAAGTCTAAATGCATGTAACGTTAAATATGTGTTAGAACGGGCCTAATTTTTTGAAGATTTAAGTTATGTAAAGTTCTAAACGTTAGCTTAGCCACCCTTGCTACTGTCGGATTTAGTTGCATTTTCCTAGGCTACCTTCGGGTAGCTGAATCGAAAAATAGGCCCAGTTGCCAACAACGTCGAACTTCACATGATACGAACTAAACTGAGCGAATTGAACATGATAGAACGTGTTGGTCGATCTAAATTTGAATGAAGTTCGACGTTTGACCCAACGGTCAAGCTTTACCCGTTTGCATCGACTCAAATTGCAATTTAGTACTTTCGTCTCTGATCATGCAAAAGTGAAGTTCGACGTTTGACCTGAGGGCCTAATAGCTGCATGTGCATAATTACACACCACTGTCCATAAGGTAACTGAGTTTGTGCATAGAAAATAACAGTCATTTCCAGACCGAATGGACAGAGGCAGTAGACAGATAGATAGATTCAAAGAGGTGCAGTGTTGTGCAGAATTAACATGTGAACACAATTGTGTTTTATTTTATGATATTTGAGTGGTCAATTCCCTCCTTGGGACATGCACACCTTCAGAGAATCATCGTAATAGCGATGTTTCCTGTGACGTCACGCCTAGGTCACCTTAGGTTGTTTATTTCTGTGGTTGGCAAAAACACGACGTGGCTTGATGTTTCTTTCTAAATTAACTGCCTAAGAAAAGGGTTCGTGGAGAGAATGCCGGTGAGCTGCCATGTAATAAATTGTACAAATCGGTTCGCAAATCTATTGGGAATAAATTTTTTTACATTTCCTGAAAGTGAACCAAAGCGAACCACTTGGATCAAAACAGTTCGTAGGAAGGATTGGACACCATCCGAGTCCTTTTTATGAAGGCAAACCCACACATCATGCGGTTGATCGTTATTTCTCTGGGACACAATTACTTTCCCTTTAGTGAAGCAGTAAGGGATATTGTCTCCAACTGAATGACACCACAATGGTTTAACATGGCCACTGATGACAAACTGATACGCTTCAAATGACTTGAAGGATTTTAGACTCTCCTTTATGTAAATACCTGGCATTTCGATTAAATACATGTACAGATCCCCAAATGTTAAATCTGGCCAAGAACTGGGATTACTTGTCCATCCTTTCAAATTATATAGGTCAGTAAGGCTACTTGCACCTTTGTTGTAGCTTAATTTAAATGATATCGCGATCTTGCAACAGGATCGAGACATTTTACGTACTCAGAATCGCACATGGAAGCCATGAAAACAAAACGAAGCCGGCTTTTTGCCAACCACTAAAGTGCGCATGTCTAAGAATGATGTCAATGTTTATAAACAAGAAACATCGCTATTGCATTCATCAAAACAAATATCAGTCCAAGATGACGAATACAACTACTGCAGGCATGTCTCATGAAGGGAATGAGCCATTCTGCACACATTCCCCTTATTTCCCAATGTCATGTTCAACAAACAGAAAACTCCATAAAATGTTACGGATGGCTATTACTTTAGAGGTGTTGCTACTCCATGCAATAAACAATGAACAGTCCTTTATATTGGAATCACTTGATCCAGTCCCAGTTTCAATGATAATCCAAAAGAGGGGTGGGTTAGGAGAGGAGTGCAGGGGAAATTTACATTAAGTCATTTTGCAAGAGAGTACACATCACGTGTCAGTATATTTTATGATATATGTCTATGGTTTGGAGATCTATAGATATATAGTGTCAACAGAGATAATTAATATGAAAATTGACAATTAGTTAAAAGTTAATAATAGAGCGTTTTCACATGATGTCATCAAATAAAACATAAGAAATTTGTATCTGTTTACAGCTTTCCAGTTCAATAGCCTCCCTGGTTTGGAAACCAGCACATACTTTTGAATTTCAGCATTATGGCAGTGCGTGACATAAAGCTACGATGGCATTTGTCGAAAAATATGTATTTACATGTATCTCGTGATTTTTATCCATTTAAGATGTTCTAAAAATATTTGGAAAAGTGCTTAATATGTAACTGCTTATGTGTTCAGTGCAGATAATCAGTGTCCTATGATAACCACTGAAGTAAGTTCCAAATGTTAACACTATTTTCTGGCTGCCATTTTTTACCTTTAATGTAAAATTATAGGGCAAGAGAATGTGCAGAATATGAGCCTGTATTGTGCTGTAGAGTCCTATGTTGTGTTTGTTATGCGCACGCCGTATACAATCAGTATGATTTTCAGATGATGCAGGATATTTCAAAAACTAGTTCCAAGCCAAAATACTAGAAAATAATGTTACTGTGGAACTTAGAATACATGTATATCCCTTGTTCAAGGCTTTAAAATATAATTTGGTGGAAATTTTTATCATTTCTTGTACTTCAGGGCTTAGAAAAGTACTACATCCATGCAACTCACGAAATATATATATAACAACCTTGATCATATTTTGGATCATTGGTTCTGACTATTTTGCAGTTATTAAAATTTAGTCTTGAAAAAGTCTCAGTCTGTGAAGAGAGATAAAATAAAATTATTTTGATATAATGATTAGTTAATTACATGGTGTATCAACATTGATAGTTCTTTTTATCTACAGGTTGCTATCACTGGGTCATTTGGTGTCTTCATTACTTTTAGACATCTTCAAAAGTTGTCCAACACTTTTATCATTCCTCAGCATTTGGTATGTACTGACTAAAATTATCAGGAAAAGCTATGGCTAAAAAGAAAATGGAAAGAATAAAAGTATTAATTTCATTGTTCACTAAATGAGGAAGACCATATATTTGATCTCCATTAATTAAGTACTGCTTTTTAATCTGAATAACTTTGCTGTGGCAACAAACAGAGTCTGCTGTTCAGAGTGCCTCTTTATCCATGAGGAACCCAGAGGAAAAAAGAAAGAAACTATTAAATAATTTGTCCACCCTTCCATGGATCTCTAGAGGCAGTCAATAGCCAGTCACACAGGACTAACAAAAACAAATGAAAAGGCCAATAACTTTAAAGTTCATAACTTTACAGAAATTTAAGGGGGCTCTGAACTGTACTAGACAAAAATTGATCGAACATAGTATGACAACACCAAGAAATAATTATGAAATTGTCATTGAATTGTATAATAGGGTACATATACGTTAGACGCTTTCAAAGTCACTAAGACAGCAAAGATTTAACTCTGAACTGCAGCTTAGTCAGCTTAATAATTGGCTATTAAATACTTTATAACGGAATGTTAAAGTTGAAATATTTGAATGTAATAGGCAAGCTAAATTCTAGTACAGACCTGGCCACAGATTTTAAGTCATTTAACTGCTTGATTTAATTATATAATGCCATTTATTATTAATTTCACAGGCTATGAAAACAGTGTTGAAGATATCAAGTGTTTTTATCTCGCCAGAGACATTCCAAAGTAGACGATATAAAAATTAAAAGGAATGCCAGTATTTTTTCCTCCACTCTCTTATCTTCCTTTTCTTGCTCTCCTCTCCCTTTTGGTGCAAAGTCTTAAACACGGTTTTCGTAAATTCAGTCATTTAATGCCAGTTTTCATTTATTTTACAGGCCATGACATTTATGGGCTTCTCCCTGACTTGTGGCTTGTTTTGTGCCATAATCATGGTTTTGAATGCATCAGAGTTGTCTGATGCTGGAAAGAAAACATTTAGGATTTATACTGGAAACAATGAAAATTTCCGTGCAGTCAATGTGCCGTTTATTTATGATAGCAAACATAAAGAAGAGCATGCCTTAATTGGCTCCATCTTTGCATTCACTGTGGTGGAACTCATACTGGCAATGTGGTCAGCGGCACTGTGTTTTATTAATGATCGCCAGGCTCCACTTACAAATGTAAGTTAATCAAATGTTAAGTTATTTTTTGTAATACATAGTTTTTTTAATACTGAGCACAGTGTACCATGCCTACACTATTAATGAATTCTGCAACCATGAGGTGTCAAAATTACTTTTTTAGCACTCGCTTACATGATGTATCTTCATCCTGATAGAAATATATTAACTGAAAATTTAAAATTTTTGAGAAGTGAGGAAAGTCGTCCTTGTTTGAGAAAGGTGTATTTTTTTGCTCAGCATTGAGAATGCAAAACTCTGGCTGGTTCCAACTTGAAAATCTGTGATTCACAGACTTCTGTTCTAATTTGGTTCCTAGTGTCATCCAGAAATGGGCACTCTAGGTATGGTTATAAAAAAACAAATCGGCTACAGTCAGAGGACTTGACACAACTCTGTTCAAACACAGTCGCCCTTAAGTCAATCCGTCTGTCTGTCGGTCTGTCTGTCTGTCCAGCTGTTGGCCCATGTGCCAGCCAGTCAGTCAGTCAGTTGGTCAGTTAGTAAGTCGGTGCAGTCAGTCAGTCAGTCAGTCAGTCAGTCAGTCAGTCAGTCAGTCAGACAGTTTGACTGTACTGATCGTAATCCTTTTTTCCCCTTTAGTACGAAGTTCCGTTAATGTCGCCAGATGGTCAAGGGCAAGGTGGAACTAGTGCAGCCGTACTAAGTGCATAGACATGATGCATACAATACGCCAGTAATTTATGTCATTTTTCTTTGTGTACGCGATAATCACCCACACAGGTCGTTGGAAATTCGACTAGAAAAATGTCTTTAAGTTAATGACTGATAAACAATGCATGTGAAAAGCAAAGGCGTACGGGCCGGTTGGGCGGAGGGGCTGAAGCCCCCCCCCNCACCCGGATTGGTCTCCTTTAGGGGTTTAATTCAAAGCTTCCAACGAGCATCTCCGACCATTTCATAAGGGAGCCCACTTTCCCGGGATGGAAATTCTTTTTCACATGTGCCCCCCCCCCCCCCCCCCCCCGCAGTTTCAGAAATAGATGAAATTTTTAGGGCAAAACGCAAAAGATTCAGGCAAATGTACTGGAGAGAAAACATTCTAAAAGGTAGTCAAGGTCAGGCTTGTAGGCTGCTTTCTTTGACATTTGCCTTGTCAAAATGGAGTTCAGGTCAAATGATGTAAGGATCTAGGTATTCTGTTTTGAAAACGGCCATAAATCGTTTAAATCTGTATCGTGGCAATACACGAGATGGATATTATTTTCATCAACAAAACAATGGCAAAAGAATCAAAGCAAACGAAAACCAACTGAAGACTTTTTGCAGTGGTTCTGAAAAGAGCCGTTTTAAAATTTTTCTTGAACTTTTCGTACGTGAAAGAATTAACTGTTTCTTTTATAATTTTCTGACTTTTCTGACTAGGCCGTCAATCAAAATAAATAGGGTATGCGAGGTTTCAAGTAACTATTTTTGGAATGATAACAGTTTCATTAGACGTGAGCATTGTCAACGTTTTTGTTTTTCTGCGATTTGAGTGCGTTTGTACAACACTGACGCTTTCGGGCATTGTGTAATTTTTTTTCGGGCAATAAGGTCACCGCCCCCCTCAAGTCCGAAAGTGCCCGTACGCCTTTGGTGAAAAGTGGTCCTTGTCTTCTTCTTTTCCTTTGTGTCCCAATACAAATTTGAGCTTTCAAAAGTATATTCTAATTTTCGGAGAAAAAGAAATTCACCGCTCAACAGCCATATGACATGTGACATGCGACATGGGTTATGGGACATGCGACATGTGACACGCGACACGCGACACGTGACACGTGACATGCGACATATGACATGGGATACTTTGAGTCTTGTAAATTAACATTGAGGATCATATTGTTATACAATCATGTAATTTATGTACTTTATCTTTAACTTAGGTTCACTTTCAGTTATACTCTTCAGCCCAAGTCGCACTAAAGTCTCTTGAGGATTATGTAGAAAAAATATGCTTTCCCCTTTTTTTTTTCTTTTTCTATTTTTAATGACATTTGTACTTGTAGAAGTTGTTTATCATGTACAAGTACATGTTTGGGTTTAAATGTTATCGTTTTGTTTTTGATGTCTTTTACCAACAGCAGTGAGAATTATCAGGTTGGCACGAGAAGATACCTTTTGTTCTCTTTGTCTTGTTTTATCCCAGTGGCGTTTTCAGAGCCGGCTTAGGTATAGGGATATAGAAAATGTACCCGTTCCCTATTATGGTGACGAAAGGAGCTCAAAATTACATTATTCTGCGAAGTGATTTTGGCAAGAAGTCCTGACTGTATATTTTTCACCGCAGGAGACGTTTTATCACTTGTAAATCAAGATGACATTGCATCTCAAAATTTAAGTGGGACAGTATTGTACTGTTGTTCTTATATTTTTATTTTATTAAATAAATATTTTTCTTTGTATTTGTATTTTGTTTTTATGCAAAGCAAAGCTTCAACCGGAATGCCTGTAAAAAGATAAATATTACAATAACTCGTGTGGAGTTCACAGCTGGCTAGGAACATTTGTTTAGGTTTAAGAATATCGGTCATTATACGAGTAGTTTGTAGGGAAGATTGCTTATGATGACAATAAACTCGTTGCGTATTGAGACAGGCGAGTTAAAAGAGTTTCCTTAATACAGGCGCGGTGGCCTCATGGCTAGTGCGCTCGACTCCGGATCGAGTGGTCTGGGTTCAAGCCCTGGCTGGGGACATTGTGTTGTGTTCTTGGGCAAGACATTTTACTCTCACAGTGCCTCTCTCCACCCAGGTGTATGAATGGGTACCGGCGAATTTAATGCTGGTAGGTATCCCTTCGATGGAATAGCATCCCATCCAGGGGGGAGTAGAAATACTCCTAGTCGCTTCATGCTTCAGAAACCAGCATAAGCTCCGGCCTGATGGGCCACTTGGCTCATATGTAGACTTAACCCTACCCTTCCCTTAATTTAATACAGAATGGTTTTTGTCCCTATGCTCTGGCAAGTGCTTGTATTTCAATACTGGTTACTGGACATCGTTGAGGCCCCAACATAGGTTTCGCGGGATGCGGGATAAGAGTAAACTGAAGGCGGGATACGGGTTGACAGGGCTTTTAATAACGGGATACGGGTTAAAATTATTTCGGCGCAAGCGGAAGTTTCTCATTTGCGGGATAGTTTAAAAATTGACGGCAGGATGCGGGATGAAAAACAGGTTACGGACGTTTCACGGAGAACTGCGACTCTGACCAGGCGGGATCGGCATAACTGACTGGGGCGAGATTGAGCCAAAAATAGTGGTGGGATGCGGGATTGAAAAAACCATAAGTTGGAACCTCATCGTTGGATCTTATCTGATATGAATGGAAAGTCAACGCTATGCTTCTAAAGCAAGATTTCATAGGAAATAAACGCTAGGTAGTGCGTGAGCTTTGAGTCATTTCATGTCAACCGATGCCCATTTTCTATTTTTACACCACGTCTAGCCAAAGTAATTGAATCTGCCGCCAGATTTTCCATGAAAATGGAAAATCTAATAGAAAGTACCACTCACCGCACGGAAGAGCCAGCTCCGTTACCCCTCCCTACCAAAATATCGAGGAAAATTATTTGATCCGACCATGCCATCCATCTCTAAATCGCACTCAAGAGTTGTCCTGCTTCGGCCTAAAGTTAAAGTATTTCCCAACCAACTAAAATATACGGAAATTTGTGTGGCGCCTCGATGGAGTGATTGTACTTAAAATAAAGAAAACAAAAACAGCAAAACAAACGAACAATAACACTTAGCCAGCATACGTATTCCTATTTCCATTCGTTGGGGAACTGGAACTTATTCTGGTTGTTCGGTTCGACAGGTGTTGGTGAGTCGGTGGCGGACATATTGTATTTTGTTCCTTTAATGGGGGGCAAACATCAAACATCAGGATGGCACTGGAACTGCACTGAAGGTGACACACACTTTACGCTGCCATCTGATCCTGAACTGTAAAAGGATGCGCAAATTGTCTTTATGAACAGCTTGACAAACTAAACAAGGTCCCACAAGTGTCTACTCGCCCCAGATTTCCTCTCCTTTCTAAAGTGGCTAATAGGCCACGTTCGATATATCAATATTCTAACATGGCTCCGAGGCTTTCAGGACAAACTTCTATATTTNATCGCTAGTGGTGGGATGCGGGATTGAAAAAACCATAAGTTGGAACCTCATCGTTGGATCTTATCTGATATGAATGGAAAGTCAACGCTATGCTTCTAAAGCAAGATTTCATAGGAAATAAACGCTAGGTAGTGCGTGAGCTTTGAGTCATTTCATGTCAACCGATGCCCATTTTCTATTTTTACACCACGTCTAGCCAAAGTAATTGAATCTGCCGCCAGATTTTCCATGAAAATGGAAAATCTAATAGAAAGTACCACTCACCGCACGGAAGAGCCAGCTCCGTTACCCCTCCCTACCAAAATATCGAGGAAAATTATTTGATCCGACCATGCCATCCATCTCTAAATCGCACTAAAGAGTTATCCTGCTTCGGCTTAAAGTTAAAGTGTTTCTCAACCAACTAAAATATACGGAAATTTGTGTGCCGCCTCGATGGAGTGATTGTACTTAAAATAAAGAAAAAAACAAAACAAAACAAAAACAGCAAAACAAACGAACAATAACACTTAGCCAGCATATGTATTCCTATTTCCATTCGTTGGGGAACTGGAACTTAGTCTGGTTGTTCGGTTCGACAGGTGTTGGTGAGTCGGTGGCGGACATATTGCATTTTGTTCCTTTAATGGGGGCAAACATCAAACATCAGGATGGCACTGGAACTGCACTGAAGGTGACACACACTTTACGCTGCCATCTGATCCTGAACTGTAAAAGGATGCGTAAATTGTCTTTATGAACAGCTTGACAAACTAAACAAGGTCCCACAAGTCTCTACTCGCCCCAGATTTCCTCTCCTTTCTAAAGTGGCTAATAGGCCACATTCAATATATCAATATTCTAACATGGCTCCGAGGCTTTCAGGACGAACCTCTATATTTGGTGCTGTTTTCTTGGAAATTGAGAGACAAAAGAAACTTAAAAAATTTACAATTTTGGCCCGAAAGCCTCGGAGCCATGTTAGAATATTGATTTATTGAACGTGGCCTATTGCCAAAATGAATTGTTATATTGTTGAAACATTTGACGTAATTTTTAATAACTTTTACTTTCCATGTAAACATACAGGCTCTAATTTAATTTAGTTGTGAATGAACACAAACAGATATCTAAGAACAACTGATCGAGTTTCTTGTTATCTCACTGTTTCTTAT